TCTACTACCACATTCCCGACCTCAAAACCACTTTGTTATTACCCCCCGACCGAACATCTTCTCGCCTCAACAACGTCTGCACCATCAAGCACATTTCTGACTCTACTAACGCTTTCAATTGGTCATTCCTTTCTCAAGCCATCAGCCACTGGAACAGTCCCCCATCCTCCATTGTCACCACCTTGGACCCTGCTGATTTCTCCTCTGCAGTAAAACTACACCTTTCTTGGCCCATGTGATGGTGTGCGGGGCTAGGCAGATAGGTGAAAACCCTTACGCAGAGCGCCTGCCGGGCCAGACTTGTACGTAGTTCAACTACTTTACTCAAGTTACTGTAGTTTAACTACTTTTCTGGGTAGTTTAGTAACTTTTAATTACATTTATATTCTAGTAATTCGTAGTTTACTTTAACTACTTTTCCGAGTGACTTCCACTCAAATTACAAATTACTTTCTAATTTTAGTGGTTGTTTTGCCTATCAACACAGAAAAGATGTCGGAAGGTCAGCTGATATTTGCAGAGGGGGAAGCATGCGGAATAAAAAAGGGGGAGATGGGAAGGAAGAAAGTAATTTAGATAGTCCAAAAAACCCCAAAATTTTAACGAGCCCCCCACTGCAACAACACTGCTACGAGGCGCGGGGAGCGAACAGACACGACGCAAGAGAGGTCGAGTAACTGTGGGATTAGCTCCGAATAGTGGCGTTTCTTTGTATTCCGAAGCTCAAGGAGACTTGACGCATTTGAAGAAAGGGCTTGTCCCCGCTTCTCTCCAATGTAGGAATTCTTGCCCACTACAGGAGGTGCACACACTGCTCCTTTTACGGTGCAGGCGATAGAACCCCTAACAACGACGCTCACGCCGGATGGGCTGCTCGTGTATCACTCGAAGCGCGTTAACCCACCCCCGCGCCTGCGTTCACGCCGCTTCGCAGGGACGGTGTGCGGCTGCTAATTACAAATCTATTAACCCACCTAGCCCCCCCACCCCCCGTACACGCCGCTTTGCGGCGTCCGGTCGGCAACCCAAGCCCCGCTGCCCCCCATGCACTTCCGTAAATAGAGTCGATACGATTTAGTTTAGCGATGTTTCGTCAACAACATTCGTTTTTTAGTGTTAATGGTAAAAAAGAAATGTAAATATCGCCAAATGCCTCGACAAAACAAAATGTTCGAGAAAAAAAATAAAAAGAAGTAAGCCGGCCCACACCATAAATAGAACCCGGGTCTGACACGTATGAGGCAGACATCTCACCACTAAGTTACGCTACCTCTTCGGAAACTCGCATTGCATCTGCTGCCTATGTTGACGGCGGCAGCGCCTATCTCCAAGCAAGCAAGCAAAACTTTATTTTGTGTAAGGGCCTACGTCCTGGTCTGGACGGCCCGTCCGGCCCATGTCTCGCGGATGGATTCCGTTAGGTTACCGTGTAGCCTTGTTCGTGGGGCAAGGCTCCACAAACCAGCCAATCCGGCGTGCGTGAGCACCGTTGCTAGGGTTTGTATCGCCTGCGCGTTAAAAATATGCCCGCGCGGGTCGGGGGGCAGTGCCCTTGGTATTCCTTGGGCGCCGCCGGCCTGTGTCTGCTCTGCCCAGTGGCGGCCGTTTCAGGGGGGGCAAAACGCATGCCTTGCCCCCCACTCTGAGAACTGGGGGGGCAAGTGCCCCCCTTGCCCCCCCGGTTGGTATGCCCATGCAAGAAAGCTTGATTAGGAGTTTAATAAAAAAAAAAGTGACTGACAAAACTAGCAAGTAAGACCATAAAACAGAAGGTTTTCCTTAAGTCAATGCGGAGCGCAAGTTTGTCTGCTTCTTGCACAGGGGTTGCGTGATGTCAAAACGTCGAGCTCTTATTGGCTGATTAAAAAAAATAGTGGGTATATCTCAAGGCACCTAGCATTGAGGTCTACCCACTATCATTTCAATCAAAACTAATCGGAGCTCGGCGTCAATCTGAAGTCACCGCATCTCCTGTGCAAGAAGCAGACGACTTGCTCTCCGCATTGCTTGGATGCGTTCTAGCACAACGTTTTACAATTTGCTTCACTCAGCGGGACATTCCCACTGTTCTCCTCGTCCTCCCGCCAGCTTGCTGTTTGAGTGCCAGTAGGTGCGTATTCGCCATATACAGTGTAGACCGCATATAACGTATGTCGCGGGAGTCGCGGAAATCCGCACTATAAGCGGTACCGCGCTATAACCAAAACATCAATTTTTCAGGCCAAAATATATGTCATGAGACAACTTACCTTTGTAAAAGAATTTATTTTATGCTAGATGAAAAATAAAGCTTACTTTGAGGAGAGTCTTTATTTCACCAGACTAGTACAGTTCTGTCTCAAGTGTGTCACACATTTGGAAAGAAATGAGCGGTTTTTGCCTGGCGCAGCCTTTTAACGGCGTCGCGGGTTGCGGACGGACGTAGCGAGCGTTCAGGATTGCTAACCCTAATCACTTTTCTCCGGAGACGAACACGCGTGAAAATTCGCATCCTTCATACGGTACGCGCCAGTAATACCTTTAACTTGAGCACACGCATGAAATGCGCCAAATAAGAAATCCGGGCGATGTTCGAGGACACAAATGCTTAGAAAGCACCACTGTAGTCGAAGTAAACAAACACGACGACACGGGCGTTTCTGCCGTCTTGAGAGCGCCGCCACGACATCGTCGCACGAGTTGGTGGATCTTCCCGTCTAGTACGTGCAGGGTTATCATAGCGACACACAACGAAAATTCACAGTCAAGGATAGCGCTTTTACGCGATGAGATAAACGCCGTCTACATCGACGATCACAACCGACGCCATGTTCGCGGATAGAAGCAGCTGCGCGACCGGCATGCAACGCGCGCGAACACTTCTCCTCGACCAACGCAGCGGAGGTAAAGTGAACTAGAAGAGGGACGCACGCACGTGAACGATACGTGCCTGCGTCCCTCCGTCGCTATGGCAACTGAAGTTTCTCTCTTCGCTTCCCCCGTTTCTTCCAGCAACCTCCTTGCCCCGCGTGTGCCGCTTGCGGCCTTGCGGCTCGTCTCGCGCCGTCAGCGCCGTTATCTGGTGTCACACAGGGAAGCGTGCTCGCTGCTCCGGTCGTCGGCGCGGTCGGCGGGCTGTGCCAGAAACCGCACTATAACCGGTATTTCCCATCGCGCGCCTGCATTTTAAGCGGTATGTAATTACATGAAGTTCTATGGAAGGCGAACCGGTGGTTTAAAAAAACCGCGTTATACCCGGTCCTGCACTATAAGCGGTTACGTTGTAAGTGGTCTATACTGTACGTCATTTACAAGAAACTCTACAGATGATTGAAGCAACCGATTATCGCTTTTATATGTTACGTTTACTACACGAATGGGGAAAGCGGAAGCAGTCTCAGCAAAAGCACCCCAAACAAGCAAAAATAAATATATATTATGCCAAATGTTTATTTTTTATAGAGCAGTTATTGTTTTCACCAGAAATAAGAAGTTACGTGAACAAATGCCAGCAAGCTCTCATGTACATTTATACACCATAAGGTCCTGAAAGAATGCCCACCCAAAATGAAAAGGAAAACTGTGCGTGTGTGTGTGTGTGTGTGTGTCAAAGGGGGGGGGGGGGGGGGGGCACTACAAGCTACGTGAAACGGAAACTCTTCAACTTCAAAGTTTTTTTAACTTTTCCCTCACCACAGTAAGGGATACCCCGCATAGTACGGATGCTGCAGATTCACGTGTCACGGTGCAATAAGCACGAGGGAACCCGCGGCGAGCACGTTTGTTGCGTACCAAAACCGCAAATCACTCAATTTATAAAAATCAAAAAAAAAAGAAACCGAGATGCGGGGTTTTTGGGGGGCGGGCGCTTGTAAGAAACTTTACGGTGATTTAATGCGTGTGTGTCGTATTTCGAATACACTCCATCAAGCTCAATGCACCTGTGCAAAAAAAAAGATTAAGTGAATGACGGAACGATGCATCGAAGCATCGTCTCATCATTTGTCAAGAGTTCTGATGAGTACTCAGAAAAGCGACCTGTGCATGTGCCATTTTCGGAGATCAGGCTTACACGCCGTTAACACGACCACATCAGTATGGTGGTCTCATAGCAATAGGGCCTTAAAAACCTTTACAACGTTACCACATACCGCGCACTACTGGAGCCTTTGAAGCACACTTTTAAGCGCGCGCCCCGCGGTCACGGTATCACTCAAACGTGAGCTTAAAAGCATGCTTTAAAGGCTCCGATAGTGCGCGGTATGCAGCAACAGTTTGCTAAAAGTCCCTATTTTTTTCAGAATTACCTAAACAAACACAACACAGTAAACAACTGTGGCCAATAAAAAAAAACTCCAATAAATATAGCCTTAAAAAAAAATTGTTTAGCTGGTTTTGGTGCAACATGTGTGCTTGGGAGCAGGATGGCACAGCAAAAGTGGATTGGCACACAATGGCGCAGCACTTCCACCCCTGGTGGTGCCATCTGGCGAGTCAACACTGAACCATTTAGGTGGTGCCACCTGGCAAGTCAACACTGAACCATTCAGGTGGCGCGGTCTGGCGAGTCAACAGTCGAGTATTTACACGCACCTGAGGCAATGCACAGGGAGTAGATTTTAATATAACAATCTAGAGGGAAAGGCCCCATGCATTTCGGCAGCTTCGGAAGGGCGGGACATAGACATGGACATCAATGATTTCGATGAGACCATATTGCTGGCGGCGTCTTAATGTACACAAAAAGAAAAACATCCTTTGCAAGGTCTGTATCTAGCATTTTTCTAGCATTGCTTTGCACTAAGAGAAAACGGCGTCGCGCATTGTACAAGAATTCAGACGACAAGTGCTCGAACGACTTGAACTCGTTGCGGAAAAACGAACACACCTAACCTATTGTCTGCTTTCTTTCTGTCGCTCTCTTTCTCGTTCTTTCTCTCGAGACCAGCGATGTCATGCTTACGATTCGCCACGTTCTATTCCCGTCCTACTCCCCCCCCTGGCAAGGGGGTGGTCCCCACCTGAGGTCAGAGTACTCGTCGTCGCTGGTTGCCACGTCTATCGCACCCAGGTTCTTTTGGGCCAGCTCCTCCTCCTCCAGCTCGCTCGTGAGCAGGTCGTCCTCCGAGAGGAGCTCCAGGCTGTTCTCAAACTCCACCCGTTCCGGAGTGCTGTCTACGTCCATCATTGTGGCAACCTCCTCCGCGGTCAGCTGCCGTGGTACCTTGTACGCCTTGGCCTGCCGGACGGGACAAAGCATTCGTTATACGTGGTCACAATATTATACTACTCGTGGCGCTACTTCACAGGAATGCTGAACCGGAATTTTAATTTCACAAAATAAGGCTGCAGAAGCATTGAGTGGGATGCTACGAACTTCAAAACATCACACATACATTGATATCTCAAACGGATGGCTGTATTTTTGGAAAAGAAGGGCGTGACTTAGCGAGGACTGTGACGTCGCTATCCTCCTGGAACAGCTGAGAATCAAGGGAAGCGGTCTCGCTTCTTTCTTCTTCATTTCGGTTCACCAGCTCGAGGAGACGAAGTGAAGAGGAGAGGAAATGAGAATCGTGACGTCACATGTCTCGTCAGCCTTGTTGATTGCGTTCAATCGCGCACTTCTTTTCCCAAAATGCGGCCAACCGTTAGAGATCTCTGTATGAGTGACGTTTTTGGGTTCTGCAGCGTCCCGCCTATCGCTCCAGCCTTGTTTAGTGAGCTCCAAATTTCGATTCAGTATCCCTTTAAGAAATGCAGGGTGTAATTATTACGTTTACGCGTCTTGTGTCGCGATGCACTTTTCGGCGGTCCGCCATGTCGCAGAAAAGATGACAAAACAACAACTCGAGGTTAGCTATTTTACTCAAAGCTCACTGAATACATTTGCGAGTAGTATTTCAAAATGCTAAATCGGTCGATGGCAAACATATGGCGTAAACTCAATGTACAAGTATGTGCCCTAAACGTCTCGGAAAACTGAAAAATACAATCCATGCATGGCCTCTTTCTTCACTAAAAACACAACCCAGCGTCAGAGCACGCCCCCTTTCCCAGATATATCTCAGAAAAGGGGTGTGTTGGGATGTTTGGTTCCGTTTTTAATGGAGAAAAAGGTTGCATGATTGTAATTTTGGATTATTTAAGATGCTTAGGGCACAAAAGTAAAATTTGGAGGTTTTACGCGCCAAACCAACGACGGGCATCTGGCATGCCCCAGCGGAGGACTGAGGATTAATTTCGACCACCTGGAGATCTGACGTGCAACCGAAAGCTCGGTTACGCGGCGCCTTTTCCGCAATAAGCCTCGGTCAGACTGCGGGCACCTCGGCTGGGATTCGAACCTGCCACATGGGGACCCGTAGGCCGGCGCTCCCGTCTCGGAGCCACTGAGGCGGCTGCTTAGGGCACAAAGTAAAAAGACAATCTCAAAATCTACTTCAGTGCCCCTTTAAGCTCGAGTTGAGCCCGGTTCACACATTCGCTTTTCAGCATATGCTCAAGTGCATCGCACTGCCTTCGACACATTTGCACAATCTACCAGGTAGCCCTGGAAGGCATCCGATCTACGTAGATATTTTTGTCATTTTTTCTGCATCGTTCTTTCACCAAGGGCTCGACGTTGTTGACGTTGTGATCCTGGCAGCTAGTCATACAGGTGTTGGCAAGAAGGGCTGGCAAACGCGCATGTTACCGTTGTCGTAGTACTCTCACTCGTGGCTGCCCAAGCTACTGCGTACCATCAAGCTGGATGGCGACCTACCTCATGACAGGCGTCTGCTACATCCACATTTGCTGCTGTACCACCGTTGACATCGTGGCGGGCTACACCGAGATGCGAGTGCGACGTCACGAGGCGGAAATAGAGGGACCACGAGTGGGGATGCGATAAACACGCAAGTTGGAGGGGTGAGGCATTCTATGCTGGATTGCTAGCCTTTTTGGAGTAGTGTCCTCCAACTGCCTATCATCCCCATAATCATCATCATCATCATCCTTTAATCCCCTGATCAATTAGAGCACTCCAACATGCAGTGCCAGCCTCTTGAAGTACTGTCCTCTCTTAAACTCCTAATCATCCTAATAATCATCACTACCATCATCATCATGATAATCACCATATTCCTTCCCCCCCACACCTCCCCATTTGGGTCACTCCCCAGTGCAGCCCTCACCTGAAACGTCATGGTCCCCGCGTCCACCATCGTGGCAGTGGGAGTGATCGCACTCCCCATCTGGGTGGGGTCTCCCATGTCTTCCCCTGCACCCCCGTGGGGAGGCGATGGACTCCGTCTGCGGTGCTGATGCGCCGCAGCCGCAGCGGACAGCGGCACCCCCGCGGAGTCTTCGAGCGCGGAGACTGCGTCGGAAGGCGCGGAGGAGGGCATCAGGGACGGGGGCTCGGGATTGGCCGACAGGAATGCCTGCTTTCGCTTCATCATCTCCTGCCAGCGCTGGCTGGGTCGCTCCATCCGGAAATGGGCCGGGCAGTAGAACTTGCCTGCAGTGGTGCGGGGACGGGTGCATGTTGTCAGGGAGGGTTACTGGAAGACGGCTAACACTAACAGATGGTCAATCAGGCAGGTTCATTGGTAGATGGCCAACAGTCTTATCAGACAGTTAATACTGCAAATCTATTGACAGGTAGCTAGCACTATAACAGTCAACTCTCATTAATTTAGACTCCAGAAGGCCGCAGACTTTAGTTTGAAATACCAAAAGTTTGAATTATCAGAAATTCATCTAAATGTGATGTGAGGCAAAGCAGCAATTTGCTATAGGTATAACCACACATATCAAGAAGAATTTTCACTTTCCTCTACACAGGCCTATTTATAAGCAGGCACAGACATAAAACATTGGTGAAGTTTGAAGCGAATAGTGGTTTAGGACGAATATTTTCTAATTGAATATCAATTAGTTTCTCCAAGCTTTTTACTACCGTTGTGCCATGCTTACCGCATTTACTCGAATCTAACACGCCCCCTCGATTGTAACGCGCACCCATCTTTCGAGGTCCAAAAAAAAAACAAAAAAAAAAACGCAATGACCTCGATTGGTAAGTGCACCAGATTTTGTAGGTTGGATACAGAAATGAAACTTTTTCTCACTTGCAACAACGAAGGCTTATTCTAACGTAGTGCCTAGAGCACCGTTTGACGGCACTCTTGCAGAACTTTCAAGAGCCGTCCAACAGCTCTTGAAAATTCTGCAAAGGCTTTCGGACGCATTCAAGTGCTGTCCGAAAGTCTGGTATAAAACGAGTTCTCAAAACAAATTTTTCGAAGCGGAGTGTAGCATAGTGGTGTAAGGAGTGTGAGAAGTGTGTGGCGCCGACGACAACCGGAACCATGCGGGGACACTCCTTCCCTAGGGGTGATTCCTGAGGACAGCACTTGTCCCCGCTCCCGGGGGTCGCGGGAAGCAGCAAGAGACGGGGGGCAGTGAAAAATGGCGCTGAGAGAATAAGGGACTGTAGCAAGCTCACGTGAGGCGTGTGTTGAGTGAAAGTGTCCGCTCTGCCGAGTCAAGCGTGACAGTGGTAAGACGTTTGTCTCAGAAGCAAGCGATCCCGGGTTCGATCCCCAATGCGGGCATACTTTTTACAGCGGAGCGGTTAAGTGCTAGGTTCCCCAGGATTGTGCCCGGTTTGTCGACACAAACCTACCTGGATAGCTACCGCCATCTATAAGCGACGGCGGCACGCACACAACCAGTATGGTGTCCGCCGTCGCTCGTAGATGGCAGCAACCTTTCCAGCTATCATAGAAAATTTGATAGATGGGCGCGTTGGTGGAAATTCATCGTAGAAAACAGCGCGAAAAACAGACGACGACAAAGAAGAAGCACACGTAACGAGCACAGCGCTCGTCATGTTTGTTTCTTTGTCCTCGTCTGTTTTCCGCGCTGTTTCCTATGCTCCTACGCTTTTACCAGTTTCGGTTTGGACTCACGATGGGTCGGCCGCGCGCCCTTCCGGGGAAAGAAGACAGGCTACGGAAGGAGCGGCCACGTACGCAGCAGCGCGAATGAGTCCGCAACCGCCGCAAAGCCGCTGTCCCCTCGACTTCCACTGCGTCTAGCGGAGGGGTGGCCAAACCGCGGCTCTTTGCTGGCCACGGTACGGCTCGCATATGCCGGTCACGGTGCGACCCCCCCCGCGTTTTTGGGTCGCACTCGATCCTAGAGCGCATGCGATTTTCGGACCCATTTCCCCGGAAAAAAGGTGCGCAATTAGATTCGAGTAAATACGGTAAATGAAAATTTAGCTGAACTTGTGAAGGTTGTTCCGAACCTTTCTACTTGTCCTAAGCTCAGTTAGTTTTAGTATAAATATATCTATCAACCGTGGCCTCAGAAAGTCCAATGCTCACATTGGGGTGGCAGGTAAATGAGAGATTTGACATAAAATTAAACCTAAAGAGATGCCCAGCTGCCCTAATCGAGGGAATTTATAAATCTGCTTGGTATATGCAAATAAACTTTCTTTAATCTCAAATGTAACCCCCTCATAAAATTAAAAAAACAGGCACAAATAATGAAAGCAGCTTGTCAGAACAGTTCTGTTTGCATAATAACGGTGGTTCAGTCCCATCGAGTGCACTTGTCACCGAGCATCTGCATACTGCAGAAAAGCAATGACCGCGAGCTTCTTGGATATTGCTTTGCCGCAGTACACAGGTGCTCGGTAAAAAGCGGACTCAACGGGGCTAACTCGCTGCAATGAACAAATAACATGAATTAAGCGAAAAAGCTGTTTGAATTAGGCGACTTATCATGCATTAAAAATATAGTGGGACAACCAAAATTTTTTTTAATTCGTTTGAATTAACCGGGACTACGAAATATTTGAGTTTCAGTCATCACAAGTCCACTGTATCAGATGGCGAATCAGGCACATTCACTAGCAGATAGCTAATCAGCCAGATCTGTTAGCAGACAGTTACCACCATTGGCAATGGCACTAAAATAGGTTTCACAATGCTCATCTAGATTGAAATGGGCAGGGGTAGGGATTGAACCCAGGATCCCTGGGATCTGCAGCGTGAGCACTCTACATGACCCGAGCTGGGGTGCACTAGCACACTCAACCACCAAGCCCCCTCTCAACAGAGGCAAGGACTGCCGCACACGGGAGCTCTGCATTGCACTTCGTCGTGCGTCTTCATGCAGAACGAGTTTTAGGGCTGGTTTCCAAGTCTGGAGCATCATCAAAAGTTGTTAAGACAACACGGTAACACGACCAAGTCATGTGAAACCACATTTAGTGGGAAAACTTGACTGAAGTGGTTGATGCATGTCTTGACATCCAACACATCTTCTCCGCTAAATTTAAGTCACGTGACGCTGTGACATCACGACAGTCGAATAAGCCCTATGTGAAGTCACGTGGCACTGTGTCATGCAACGTAACATCAAGAACACCGTGACATCACAATGTCATAAAGCACCGCGACATCACGCAACATGCAAACAAGCTCTCAAAATGTGACGTCACAGGGGGACATGCAACATCACATTGGGACATTGGGACATGTGACAAATTGTCACAGGACGTGCCCTCGTGTGACACCGTGATGTGACAACATGACATTGTGCAACACCCAAACAAGTCAATGTGATGCTTATGACACCTGCAACTGCTGAAGAACACGTCAAACTGGGTCCCACGTCCACTAGCCCCCAGGCGCACCCCACACACCGACCTTTAAAGGAGGTGGTGCGGTCATAGGCATAGTTTCCCAGGCGCAGGCTGCCCTGGCAGTAGTCGCAGCGGAAGCAGCTTCGGTGAAAGAAGAGCCCCTCTGCGCTCAGCCGCTCCATGAGGTACACCCGCTTGTGGCAGAAGCAGCACGTCTCGCTCACCGCCTCTGGGCCCTTCTCGGTCGCGGCCGCAGGCGGCAGCGGAGACGCTGCCAGGGGCGGCGTCTGAAAAGAGGACGCCTCAGCTTTGTGGACGAAGCTACGCTTGTACGGTACATGGAACCCGTCTCTGACTGGTGTTTTTATTGCGTCCTTGTTAGTGGTTCCTCAATTTACAGTCGTCGATGTCATAAAAGTGCCACGCCGTTACCCGCCACGACCCTGGCGGTGACAGAGCAACGAAGGCGAATGCGACAGGTGCCTGTTCTGCTGCAGGACGCTCTCCGATCCAACAGTTCCCGGAAGCTATGGAAGCTGGGAGCCGAGACGCTGCAGCGACGGCGATGCTCACTCATGGTTCTTCCGGAACTTCTTCGACCAAGCACCAGGATTGCAACGTCCGGCGGCAGCCCCCGTGATGTCATTTGTTCCCACTTAGGTTTCGAAACGAGGGCAATATGGGGCGCTAAACGCGCCGGTCGAAGACGCATCCCATGCACCGTGCTATAACGCATTAGGCAGTTAAAAGAAGGAACGGACGACCGCACCTGCGTGCCGTCGGCCGAATCGTTCCGGAAGAGCACCACGGGCGGAGGCGGGGGAGGCCGCTTCTCCCGGATCCCCGTCTGAGCATCCAGCACGTTGGCGATGTATCCCGCCATGGCGGCCACCCGGTTGGCGCCCCGTGTGCCCACGTCCAGCGAGCCTTCCCTGAGTTGCTTGTCCAGCCGCTGGAGCCGCTCGTCAATGCCTGAGAATCGGGCACGCTCCTTCTCCGTCAGGCCCCCACCAGCCTTCAGCCGGGCGTCCATGGCATTCAGCTGTAAGGAGGGCAGCAGGGCAAGTCAAGGCTACGCGGCGAGCAAATTCGTCTACTTCTTGCATAGCGGGTACAACGACATCGGAGCGACGGAAAACGATGCATTCGCCGGCCTCATGCAAAATATAGAGGAAAGTTGTCATTCTTTTTCCCCCAATTGCGCTCGCCGTAAGTTTCGAGACGTAGCTCACCTCCTTAGGCGGACCGCGCAAGTAGATATATCTACAGCGGCTGAAATAAGTCTTCTAACCCCCTTCGGCATATTGGGGGTAAAGCATCGGACTAATTAGTGAGAGTTTGTACATTTGATTCTCACCAAAGGACAGAGCAATCTTGGAAAAGATACCTGGCCGCATTGTCATGTTTCTCGTTGCAACCTTTCGCGGCACTCCAAATTTGGAAGCCAGCCCGCATTCCGCATTAAAATGGCCGGGTATTAACCGCGCCAATGATATTTTTCTGCTTCCTCGTGTCTGTTAAAGCCCTGCCAGCAAACTAAGCCCACTGAAACCACAATGTAAGTCTTTATGCGCTGCCATTCTGAGATGATTCCAAGGATGCTGAAGTGTCCGAGAAGTTGCAGACCTTTTCTTCTTTATTTATTATACAAGCTCCATGGTCAGAAGCTTGGGACGATGGTTCATCTATACGCATGGCTAAATAATATTGAGTCTGCGTGAAATAACATTCAGGGTTTCCTTTTTGCAGTGCATAAATCATCCGCGCAGGACTGGACCCTCGTACTTCGACGAAAGGTACCCCAAGCGGTGAGGCTCAAGGAGGTGCGTTTTGACTGTGTGAAAAAGACAACATTTCTGAATACCTGGGTTCGATATAATCGAGCTTGACTGTATCTACATAGGTAATGCTAAGCTGGAGCCAATGTGAAGCCACTGGTAAAAATGAAGGAACAGTGGCGAGACGTAACGGCGGCTGTCCGATGCACCTACCTTGCTGTCGAAGATGTCCTTGAAGACCCGGGGCTTCTCGACCTCCACCTTGGGCTCCTTGGCCTTCTTTTGCTGCTGCTTCAGCCTCTCCTCCAGCATCTTCACATTCCACTCGTCCTTACCCAGCCGCCCAACCTACAGCATGACAGTTTCCAATCAGCACCTCAGACACCACTCAATCAATCAATCAATCATGTTTTTATTTATTTCAAGGCAAAAACACTCTCAGACAGATCAGCTGATGCAGTACCATTGGTAACTGCCGATAAGTATGAATCATGGGCATGCATTTATGCTGCAATATCCTGAGCAGTAGCTTTATAGGGCCAAGCAAGCTCAGGAGCCATGTAAGCATGAAACATGTAGGCCGGTCTGTCCGTAACCGCTAAACCAGTGGTTCTCAAAATGGGGTCCGCAAAGGCATTCTAGGGGGTTCATGAAGCACTGCCTAATCAGTCAAACCATACAATAAAAGTAGTGTTTTTTTTTTGTTTTTTTTTTAGATTGAGAAGAAAGGTTCCAATTTTCGGGTGAGTTTTTTCATGTGTGTGTGAATAAGAGATGTCTACTTCCCACTAGCACTTAGTTATATTCACTTATTAAATTATTATCATAATTAACCTATGCCTTTTCTTTCCCCTCACCACAAACGGGATCCTCCATCATCTCCCTTGATCCAAAGGGTCCGCGAGACATCAGTGGTTGAGAAACACTGCGCCCAAACGATCTTGAAAAAAAACCGGCAGCCGGTGCCAGGGATTGAACCCTGGTCACCGGCATGAAAGTCGAGTGCACTGCTGACTGAGCTATGGACCCAGCATGTAGGGATGTGAAGAGCAGAAGGAGGTGGTGTAAGAAAGCATGCGGAGTGGAGGGGTGCAAAGGGCAAGAAAGAGAGGAGCAGAAACAGGTGATGAGAAGCGTGCTGAATGAGAAGTGGAAAGGGCAAAAAAGCTCCCCTCTCTCGGTGAACCAGAAAATTCAGTGCAAAGGCTTTGTATCCAGGTAGTGCTGAAGGGAAGCGCACGTAGCGTCATGAAGAAACAGTGTTGTGACATAATCTGCTTCCATACAAAATTCTGCCCAAGGCATCCCTTGAACCAAGAGCCCCACCCACCCTATAGAGCTACTGCATTTAAACGCACTTGGCAGAATGACCAAACATGCAGCCAATTTTCTGTCCCAATTTTCTTTTCCCCGATAAACACAGAAGGATGGCCCACCCCTATAAACATTGTCACCTATTTTCGGATGTTATGAACTTGGTTTTGACAACAACATTGACTGTTCTCTTGGCTATTAAAAGTGTACTAATGGGGTTTGAGACTGTCTCTTTAGGGCTCTAACTTCATCTATACTTACATGATGAAGTCTGAAAGTCCACAAATTACTCTATCAAAAACCGAGAAAGGGATAAAAAGGATACATTGCCTTCCCTTTCCTCAACACAAAAAGAAAAAGAGAGTGTGAGCTTTTGACAGTGTGTTCTGAAAAACTAGGGATGCCTATGTAAATAATTTACGAGATTTCACACTTTCTGAAGTAGTAGACCATGTTCGAGCCACAAGACAATTATTGTACGATCCCGAAAGGACGCCCTTCCCCGAGATATTGGCCATCCCGTTTTTGTGGCTAAATATTTGTAACAAAAAATTCCAAAACATCGGCCTCGCCCGCCACCGCGGTTAGCTCAGTTACAGTTACCTCATGGGACACCAGGATGCCATGTGACGCCATGTTATACCGTGACGCCATGTTACACCATGACGCCACGTGACACCGTGACGCCATGTGACACAGTGACGCTATGAGACACCACGATGTCAGATGACACTGACATTATGTGTCTTTATGCAACACTATGACACCACATGACTCGAAACAAAAAAAGACTTCATGCGGCACAGCAGTGATCTGAATGGCCTAAGCCATTTTGGAGCACCTTTAGGAGCAGCCAAAACAGCATTTTGGAGCAGCAAATGTGGTTTTTGGAGCAACCAAAACAGTGTTTCGGAGCAGCAAAAGTGGCTTTTGGAGCAGATATTCTTGGAAAAATAAAAATATTTGTTTTAAGCAGGGTGTCGAACCGAACCCGAACCGAAAACCGGATCAAAACCATTATTTTTGGCCGAACTGGTACAAAACCAAAACCGAAATCGAACGCTTCACATTGAACCCGAACGAAACCGACACTATTGATAGTTTTTCCAAAACTATCAGTAGTGTCGCAGAACTATCGATAGTCGACTATGGATAGTACTATCAATAGTTTTTCGACAGTCGACTTTCGACAGGGTTATCGATAGCTTTTTACTGTCGATAGCCAGATTTCTGGTGACTGTTGATATTATAGATAGTACTACTGATAGTTTTGCACGCTACACCCTCCGGGCTGTCAAGTTTGGTGCGACACATTGCGCCATCTAGCTCAAAATATTTGCAACACTGAGACGGCCCTTTCGCCAACCTGTTTGCTCCTGGGGCTGTTCACGCATCAAGTTGAAGTGTTGATTCATGCGTTTTTGGTCTTTTATTCTTAACATTGCTATCGGATGTCGCAGAAGAGCAAACGCCGAAGCTGTAGGCACTGTTGCGTACCGCACTGTCGCAACCCTGGAATCCTAGCAGACGTGAAACTCCGCAGGTTTCCGTCGAAACCGTGGAAAATGCAACGCCGTCGAATATGAATAAATGTCATAAAGCGTGTAAAAAAAGCATTTCGTTCACATTGCTTGACTTGAGATGCAATTCTAAATGCGCTATTTGACTCAATATTTGGAATTAATGCGCTCGAAGCCCGACGTTGTCTTTGGATTTGATGCGATGACTCTAAAATTAGGTCAGTCCTTTGATACTCTCATTGCTCTCTGCTCCGCAGACACATCTTGACTGAACGACGTTGTGTGGACGTTTGATCGTAGTTACCAAAATTCGAAGTGAGTGCTTTCTCCACTTCGCCGATTGCAGAACGAACTGTCGTTGCGCTTTTAGTATGATCGCGTAGCTGCCCAAGATGGTTGCTATTTTCGACCTGTGTCTAAGCGGTCCTAACTTCGTCCCCGCTGCGAGGAGGAGGAGGAGGACACAACTTTATTTATAATCTATTGGATTTGTAGGGTCAAGCCGATATAAAAGTCTACCCAAGAAATAATAATAAAAATGTACTTACCCCACGAAAAAAGGTTATCCATGCGGCGTTTATTTTTGATTTATGTAAAAGTGAACAGCATATTAAACCGAAGAGAAAGAGAATCTGCTAGGTGCCGAGCAACTGCAAACGACACCGTCCAAACTACATCCAGCTTGCACGAAAAGCACATTTCTCGGACACCACAATCGTCTCCAACACGGCAACGAGGGGACTGGAAACAAACTGATCACCGAATTGAGGTCAGCTCTTCATGCGGGAAGCGTTCACTAAGAAAAAAAAGGGTGCGTAAGAATGAGAGGGAGGGAGGGGATGCGTTTTTAATTCCGCTTTTGCAGTGAGCTTTTGTAGAAGAAGGAAGCTGGACGAAGTCTTCGCTTTTGCTATCTTCAAATGCGCGCAAACAACGTAAAAAAAAAAAAAAACTGTCCTTGTTATTTGCCTTTACTTATATTTGACCGCAATATTAGCTCCCGTTTCGGGTTGTCTTTACCTATCGAGGAAGGCACCTACTAAAATTCCCTAATGCTAGAACGACACAGCCACACATGGACGCACATTTATATATTTAACGTTTAAGATTCTTAAAATAGTCGGTAGTGTAACGCACGACAACACAACGCTCGGAGTTCGTAATAACGTAATCTCGCAAGGGTATGCCGGCGGCGCTGCTGATTTTAGCCGTCCCAGTCTTGCCTCATTTGGCCACGGAGGCGCTGATGACCAACCGACGGTGGCGCTCTCTGGGACCCTGCCCAAAGCCTATGGTAAGTGCTTGGGCTAGTTGGTGTCCCATTTGAAAAAATAAAGCGAGAAAAAGGGCAGAGGGATTGACGCTAACTGCTACTGTCGCAAAACTATCAATAGTAAACCGATGACAGTACTATCGATATTTCTACGATAGTCGACTATCAATAGTTTTCCGATAGCCGATTACCGATAATTTTCCGATTTTCGACCATCGATAGCACTATCGAAAGTTTTTCGGTAGTCGACTATTGATATTCGTATCGATAGTTTTTCGATAATACTATTGAAAGTTTTTCGATAGTCGACTATCGACAGTCCTCAATAGTTTTTCGATAGTCGACTATCAATAGTTTTTCGATAGTCAACTTTTGATAGTAGTATCGAAACTTTTGCGATAGTCGACTATCGACAGTACTATCGAGCTTTTCTATAGTCTGCTTTCGATAGTACAATCAAAAGTTTTTTTAATAGTCGACTATCGATAGTACTATCGATGGTTTTTCGATAGTCAACTTTCAATAGTACTATCGAAAGTTTTTCAATAGTCGACTATTGATAGTCCTAAAGATAGTTTTCTGATAGTCAACTATTGATAGTCCTATCAATAGTTTTTTGATAGTCGACTTTCGATAGTACTATCAAAATTTTTTCGATAGTCGACTATCGATAGTCCTATCGATAGTTTTTCGATAGTCAACTATCGATAGTACATAGAGTTTTTTTTAGTATCGACAATCAGATTTCTGGCGAATATCGATACTATCGATAGTACTATCGATAGTTTTTCACCACTACTAGCAAGGCCAGCATGTTGCCTGTGCAACCATTTTCTCATTTTTGTTTGGAGTCCTCTTTCATCGTATTCAACTGAGCATTCGAGAAACGTCGTTCACAGTGGTGGCATTACCAGAACTTTTTTCGGTGGCTGAGTTTCAAATGTGAGTACTGTTAAAAATTATCACTAAATAAACGTTAACAATTCATGCTATGTAACTGGTTCTGAGTCCCTCAGACCGGGTCATTTGCATAGAGCGTTGTTTGCGGTAAAATGTCAAAGTGACAAGACAAAGAATCGCCACGAGATCTTTAGAACAGCATTTTTCTGCCGGAACCCGAAGCGCTGTCAAGATGTAGTCACATTTTCTTATACATGCGTGCTCACGTGCCCGGTCATTGACACATCGGCCAGTCTGGCCGATGTATACACGACCACAGCTTAACGGGATTTGATAAACTACCCCAACTGCGCACTCGACGTACCTGTTTCTGTGTTTTACGGAACATTTGTTTCCTCTCGTTCCCCTCTCAGCCACTCTGGGGCATAGTTGCGACATCTTATTGGGCGCCGAAAACAGGTAGCATGTCTAAAAAACACGTGTGTGCAAAGCAAAACAAACAAAAACATATAGAGGGCAAGCTATCCAGCTAGAGATCTTTTTACTGTTTACAAAATCACAGCCCAGCGTGCATTTTCACAGCCCAACATGTGCATGCTTGTCGCTTCAGAAAGCCAGCAAAGCACGTGCTATACGTCCGAACACTTAAGTCAGATCGTCCGCACACACCCCTGTCCATCGTTGAAAATATAAAAAGAAAAGACGCGAGACAAGACCCAAGAGATGCGAGAGCGCGAAACGCAAGACCAGATGGACAATTGATGCAGGGTAATTTGTGTCGGGCGGCAGCTTGCGCCAAATAATACACGCATGCTCAATTACGGTAATCTCTGTTTAGTTTTGGCTTTGAAAGGCGACCAAAATTGGCTTTATGGTGCAGGCTTGGCGCAGATACCCATATTTTGGTAAAATGTAGCAGGATGTAGCAGGGTTAGCCCCTTGGCACAGTTTGCCGCAATTGGCGCAGAAATCACATCACTGGGCACAGTGACATCACGAGATGCCAGGCATCACATGATACCATGATATCAGATGACACTGTAACATTATGTGACCTCATGCGACAATGATACCACGTGGCACTGGCTTAACATGACACAGTGACCTCATGTGACACCTGATGTCATGAGACACCATGTCAGGTGACACTGACATTATGTGACACCATGTGACACTGACATCAAGACTTTATGTAATGCTGACACCCTGTGACACTAAAATCAAGACTTTATGTAACGCTGACACCCTGTGACATTAGCATCACATGACACAGTGACCTCATGTGATACCAGGATGTCACATGACACAAAGACATCATGATGTCAGACGACACTATGCGACATCTGACATCATCAGACAACACTGCGACACCATGTGACACAGTGACCTTATGTGACACCAGAACGTCATTGTGATGTCACGCAGTGCATCAACACCAACACGAATGAGCAAAGTCTGTGGGGCGCTTCTCCTATAAAACTATTGCCTCAAAACAAACAGGCAAGTTTGTGGACCGTACCTTGTTTTCCTTCCGCTTGGCGGTCGAACTGCTGGAGCCCGAGTTGAGCTGCTCCTGCAGGCGCTGCACGGCGGAGCGTGGCACGCGGGACCGCCCCCCTGGCACCGAGGTGCTCTCGTCCTCGGTGGCGGAGGAAGCATGTCCGCTCCTGCGGCCCCGGCTTCCCCGCGAGGAGGACCGCTCGTCCTTGGCCAGCTGCTCCTGCAGGGCCTGCATGCGTCGGCTGAAGGACTCCCGGTCCAGCGTGCTCAGAATCTTCTCGTACTGCTTGAGCGCCGACGGCTCTCCTCCGGCCAAAGCGTCCTGCAAAGAGAGGGGTCGAGAGCTCATCCTCCTGTCTATTAACCCCCCCCCTTCCATTAATCTTGCGTTCAAATGCAGTCGAATCACAGTAATTCTAAGTATGCAGGGACAGTGAAACACTAAGGTTAAACACACTTCAAGCTGAAGAAGGAAGCTCAAACCACACTCAACACGGGATGCGTTCTATGGCTGGCACCGAACCATTTCTGTTTCCCAACCAGAGATGGGGGTCGATGAGCCAACTGCCAGCCGAACGCTGGTGCAGCGCTCATCGCCTCACCAATTGGACGCCAGTGCCAGCCGAACATCTTCCTCAAGTTCACCTGTGTTACTCCTGGCAGGGGAAAACATCACCTATTCAGACATACTCTGCTTTGTGAAACGGGCACGCTCCGGGCTTCCTCAGAGAAAGGGAGCAAGAAAGAGCGAAAGACCAGAGAAAGCACACTGCACACCAAGGGGACAGCACACAGTCGCTATACCACAAGTACGGCGATGCTACTCATCAAGTGCAATGACCACCATTAGTGGCAAGGCGCCTCCAAAAGCATGCACACGCTTGTAGTCGAGACAATTGTGAGCCTAACAAACTCTCCTACACAAAGCCACAGTGATATAATGATCATAATTTTCAAACTATTTTTCGTGATGCGACGAGATGTCGACAATCCAAACACTCTAAAACACGGGTAAACAAGTGGCCGGCACTCGGGTGGTGCACACCACTTTACCATCGCCTCCTTATTCTAATCTAATATATTACGCATGCTACCATTCGCACCATCCAGTGTCCACATGTGTGCACGGTTTCTGCACGCTAACACATTATCTTGTTCTGTGTTGCCACGCTAGTATGGAAAAGGGACGACTTTTGTTTTTTAAGCAGAGTGCTTTAAGGGAGGAGGCGGGGAATAAATATGAACTTTCTTATCTCTAGAGATATCTGAACGAAATTTACAGGGTGTGTTTATAGCACATACATAAGAGTAACTGCAAAGTTTCATGGAGCTGTGCATATTATTTCTCAAGTTATAAATATTTATCAAAATCGTCCATATGCATTCCTTATCCCAGGTCTGGAGAATTTGAAAAAGGTAGTAGCGGCGTAAAATTTGTTATGCTGACCCCTGGATAGGTTCCCCAGGGCATAACGGAGCCCTTTTTTTAAATTTCTTTGTTGAAAAATTTTAACGCAACTTTGAATTTTATGTAGTCAATGAAACCCACATTCATCAAATTGAATTTTTTTATTATAAATTTTTAGCACAGTTTTCTAAAAAAAGGGCTCTGTTATGCCCTCACAAAGTTATTAGAGAACAGAATAAAACAGACAGCACAAAAATCCATTCATCAGTCCCTGAGATATCGCTGGGACGAGCAGCCACGGCAGTGAAAAAATCCATTCTGAGAAAACAGCACTTGAAAGTTGCACACAGATTTTCAGCTTTAGGATGACCCTGCAGAATAGTCAGAAGTGTTCTTGCGCACTTTCTTCTTGTTCCGCCTTTCCAACTTCTCTTGATGTCGTTTGCTAGCCTTGTGCAGACGTAGGGCATCTTTCTCGGCAGCTCGTTGGAGGGCTAGACGGGCCAGCTGAAGTCCCACTGCAACCGATATTTCTGCAGTTGCCTTGTAGCAGCCGGCATTGAACCTCAACACTGCTTTATGCACTGCAGTTTGCTGGCATAGCTCCAAGTTCGGCTTTAACGGTATCATGATGTCTAGCTTGCGCTTCGATCTCCTCACGTGTCAGGAAATGCGTCCGCAGATGGGTGCTGGAAGACGCGCTCCCACTTGTCGCGGCAGGCGGAAGACGGGCGCTAGGACCCGCAATCTCGGGAGGAAACACAACGGTCGGCATGCTCGGTACTCCAGGCGTGAGCGGGGCAATGCGTTCTTCCTCGACGACAGCCGATGGCACAGAAAATTCATCACTGGAAGAGTTGACGCGATCATCATTGACGGCACGCCGTGCAGAAACTTCCAACTTCGCCATCCGCACAAACTTCATGGACCGCTTCCGCGCGCCAAACGCGCGCATTGTCTTGTACTTCAAACCTCGCATCGTGTGCGACCATGAAACAGACGGGCACGCTACACGAAACTACTCAAAGAAAGTTCGGAAAACGATCGTAAAGATGGCGAAAAACCAAGTGGAGCTGACAAAGTAAGAGTGCGTGCAAGCAGACCACTACCAAGAGCAGACGACGCGAGCGGCAACAGCAGGAGAACCAGAGGAGGAGAAGAGCGCTCCGCGCGCGGAGAAATTGTGTCCCAGCCAATAGCAGTCGCGCGCTCCCCCGCACGCTCCTCGAGCGCGCGCTCTGTCCAATCGCGTTCTTGCGATTGCGACATGGAAGAACGGCGACTACGCCGTAACCACGCGGACGACGCCATTTTGGGAACTGGTAAAAAAAAGAGAAAGAATTCACGTTCAAAACAAGTCTAAGATGGCGGCCATCGGCCGAACGCGTCGGAAATGGCGAGCGCGCAAAGTTGTGGTTGATTTTGACGTTTGACCGTCACTTGGATGCTAATAATTGTTTTTAAATATTTCCCCATTGTATTTGGTGCTGATAATTACAGAGAAGGTAGTTTATGAGATATACAACCGAAAAATAAGGTTTTCTAAAAATCAACTTTTTCGCAATTTTTCGGTTTTCAAAGCCCGCGTCCCCCCTTAATAGGCAGGCAGCAGCCTAGAAAGCTCTCGCTCTCATTAGGGATCAAAAACGATTCGCAGATGCGACCTCAGGTTATGGTGTTTCTATCAGTGTTGAATCGGTAACTCTTTCCAATGGTGAATTTTCAATGACTAATTAGTCCGGCACATTTCTTTGAAACAAAACAGCAGGGATGCCGCTTTGTTTTCTCCGTTTCTCCTTCTTTAGTGTCCATGAAATTTTTTCATGAAAGAAAGCGACAGTGCAGAGTCAGCACTCTGTTTATGTGTGTTCTCCACTTGTCCCCATGCACTTTCTGCACTGTTGTATTTATTCTTTCCTAGGACGAGTGAAACTCACCACGAGGGCTGTCCTGTCTCGTGTCCTGCGACTCCTTGCGGTGGATATCCTCGCCGCCCTCTTCTGGCTCTGGCTCTCACTCTTGTCCTTTGCCGAAGTGTCCTGTTCTGTCGAGTACTGTAGAGGATTGGAATGAGGAATGCACAGAGAATGTGAGCATGTAGAAGTGCCGCCGCAGAATGAACATTTGCTTGGACGATTTTAAGAGCTGCTGAAACGCAAGTGCAGCGGCCACTGGAACAAATGCAAAGGTGTCGTAGAACTGGTCTACAACTGGGCACAATTTGAAACTTTTAATGAAGTAATCTGCAACATAGCAAGCTTGAAACTAATAGCGTGTTTGACGTTACGACTGAACTTTTTTTAGGTTTGCGCTGGGGATTGGCGAAGTGTAGCAGGCGTCGGGCTTGTGACGTGTATTCACCCAACTCACTACACCTGGGGGATCAGGAGTGGTTCTCAGAAAAGACACCCTTTAGACGTGTAGTAGTTACTTTCATTAGTTTTCTCGAGAAAGAAAGTGTTAAGCTTGCCAGTTCAGAAGCCTACAATGCACACACAGCTTTCTAAATGTTTTGCTTGTTTCAAGAACACAATGCTTAAGGGGAGGCACAGCTCTTTGATGCAAAAGTATGCTAAGAAAACACATTTTTGAATTTGTGTTTTTTCAAGAGTGGCAGGCACTTATCATCTTGTCCTCAAGAATTTTCTTTAAATAAATCTCTCTCATCTTAAAATATTGTCTTGGAAACAAAGAAAAATGAGTCTCTGGATGTTTTTTTATATTATTTCTGAGTTAACTATTTACATCATTTACTATTTTATAGAAGCCATATCTCCACTTGCACATGTCTAATCTTCATTTTTTTTTCTTTCTCTGGTAGGTGTATGTGTGACATGTGCAATAAGGGGTACAAATATATTAAATAGGGTATCAGGCTTTTTTTAAGTGCGTTTTAGGCATTCTGCAATTAATCATTTTGAAACTGGAAAGTTTGAAAATGTCCTAAAAAGTTTATAAAGCCTCCTAGAGTTTTCATTTATGCCTTGTTGGATTCCCCATACCTTTTGGTTCACTGATATATGTTTTTTTTTTTTTCAGCATTTCATTTTGTTTTAATCCTTCTTATAATCTTTGCGAATGAAATTTTCAACATTAAAAAAACTAATTAGGTTACATCGAAACCAAGTGCATATTTGTGGTCAGGTTGGTATGGAAAATAAGCTATGTAAATTTCATATGAATTGAATCGCAAGTTATATAAAAAAAGCTCTAGAAGCAGTGTTGCTCTTTAAAGTAAAGACCATACTTTTGGTTAAGTCTAGTCGTCTTAGCCACAATTTGTGCCCCGTTAACAGTGAAATTAAAGGTTTCACTCGTGTTTGGATGACCTTCCTCTGTGAGCAGTCTGCCACTCACAAGCCTGAAAAACTGCGGACCCCCCCAGTTTACAAACTACTTATCAGCAGAAATGTTTAACCCCTCACTTGACACGATAATCAGTGAAAAATATTTATCGCTTTACGTAAAAACGCTTTCCACCCCTCCTTACACTCAGCACCTATCTGGTGCATTGTAGTATGTGAGTGTTACTTTCAAAGACAATGATTTGCAAAAGAAAAACAAACAAAAATACAAAAGCTGCAAAGGGGACTTGCCTTTTTCCTCCCCTGGATCTTCTGGCTGATCTTGCTGAGCAGGTTCAGCGGAGCAGTCGGGGGCAGCTGGTTCTCCTCAATCAGCTTGCTCACCTTGTACGCAGGGCGCCCTGAAAATGCCACTTCACAATTACCCCAAGAGTTTGAGGCCAGAGTGTTACGAAAGAAAGAGGCTAACCTAGCAGGTCTGTCCAAGCAAAGAGTCCACACATTGCAGAACACCTGAACCTCACCGAAATGCGGTCCCGGCGGTGATCTTTCCAGGCGAATACATTCCTCAAATCAAAAGTTGGAAGTGATTTCATAAAGATTTAGAAAAAAGACCACAATTCTCCATCGGTACCAGACGTAAGCCGGCTGCTCGACGCAACAATTCCTAGATCGTGCTATGGTCATTGAGAAGGTGAGGATGGCAGGGCTTTGGTCGTCCCACCTCTGGTGCAAACTCCCCACCTTCGACGACGCTTTAACGTCTCGTGCATATCGAGAGCGCCCGTGCAGCCAAAGCAAGACAGAAGGCATGAAGAGCGTGCCAAAGGCCGGGCGTTAGAAAAACACGTCACGTCGTTCTCATTCTCTCGGCAACCATAACTGTCGTTCGCCTGCATGACGAGGCGAGAATAGTTTCCACAGAGACGCCGGCACCTGCAACTGAAAACTTGTGCCATCCAAGAGCTGCAAGCGTCAAACAGCCAGGCTGCGTTTGCTACCCACAGAAGCAGCTTACCCGCGACCCGGCATCTTCAGAAAGATTGCTTTTAACTTTAAATTTAGGTAACGTATTGCATCCTGCACTTTTCTGCATCCTGCGTTTGCCCCTATGGCTACCCTCCTACCTTCCAATGAAGTTTCAGCATTTTGCTATGTGCGATTCATTTATGTGCCGCAAAAAAAAAAAACACAAAGAATGTCATCTCAGGGAAATCCCGGTAGAATGGTTCAAAGGTAACAAACAATTAAAGATACAATGAAATGAAAAAATAATATCCTTTCCGAAAAAATCCCATGAGACAGATAATAAAAAAAAATTTACAAGGGAAAAAAAAAGGTTTTTTGAATGTCTACGCTGCCAAATGCAATTTATGTAGAAATAGTCCTGCTCTAGGCCTCGCCCATATCAGAAGCATAGCTAGCTAGCTACACTTTTTTTTCGGCACTCATCGGTTGGAGAGATGATGGACATGTGAAATGTTTGTCAAAAAATTTTTTTTCGTGCTGCAATAGTCATTTATTCAACATATACTTATGTTTGAGAAACAAACTACATAGATAGTCGTTATTGTTTTCAAAAGTATCATGACATCGTCTTTCGCTTCGGTTTGAAACGATAACAAACATGGCTGCCGGCGTCTGCGGCGAGCTGTTTCTCACACCGTGTAACTTGTTGAGCTTGTCTTTTTTTATAGTGCAAGTGGTTTTGCATTCACCAATATATTCAGAAGACCTCAACCGACAAAGTTCGCAGCAAATGACTGACGCAATTACACGCCTTCGAAAGTGCAGTACGGGTGCTTGATTTCATAGCAGGACTGGCCAAGCCTAGCATCCCATATCAACTATTTTGCTTGATCTATTTGTTTGCGCATTTTGATGTTGAATAAATGTGCTGGTTCTCGTAAAAATGACCCTGCTACTTTGAGAATTGAACCAGCTGTTGTGAGCTTGGTAGAGCAAATATTTTTGGGTTGCATTTTAATTGTGCATCATGAAGCTCACCCACTTTGCTTTGCATAGTATTTTTTTTTGTTGATTCTTTTCTAGTTCTTTTAGTTGCATTTTACCGCACATCGACAGACACTGACAGACGCTTGTATTGGACCATGGCTTGTGCGTGATAGAATGCTAGAGCTCCGCTCTCATGGTCGCGTCTTGCGAGCGTTGTGGAGTTTTAGACGGGGGCAGGATAGCAGATAAACGCAAGCAATGGTGGAAGTGGACGCATCACTTTCATGGTTGTGCTTTACAGGCATTCTAGGTGGTAGTAAAGAGTGTTCTAATAGCAGACGATGCCGTATGCTGCCGTGAGTTTGCCCGCACAACTAGCAGACGGCGTCAGGGTGTCAGACAGCAGACTAATCGCACCAGATATCGCGACAGGGAGACATTAGGCTTGCAAATGTGTTCAGCCGAACAACCAAACCAATCCAGCAGCAATGGGCGGAGCCAAGAGCGGGCAATACATTCAACCTAAATTGTGCATAACGTCGTAAATATTGAGATTTTTTTTTTTCCTTTGAAAAGTCTTTTGCAAAATCTGTGCCCCTTTACAAATATTCTTTTATTTTCAGTGTTTTTTTAGCACACATAGATGGTACCTAAAGGCAAAATTAAATGTGAAATAGCTGCAGACCAGTTACCAAGTTATTTCCTGGTAAAGTCAACTAGTTTAACATTTTTGACAATGGATTAACCAAAAATCAAACACAACTAGTGCTAAGGAAAAGCCTGATCTGCAGCGTAAGGGTCTCAGAAATGAGAGCAGAGATTCTTCCTGGACATTTAAATGGTGTAAAGCTTGTCAATGAATTGGAATACCGAAAGTAACAATATGATAGGATCTTCTAAGTCTGCAAAAAATCTTAAACTTTTAAATCTAAAAAAAAAAAAGAAATCCACCTCTCTTGATTGACAGTCAAGGAACCCCCTCTGGTCTAGGCATTATTTTAGTAAAGCGGTACAGAAGCCTACAGGCCTTATAAACAACAATGAACATACTAGGGAGGGCTTGAAATATAGTTATGCACTAATGACTGCCTTACATTTGCAAAAAAGTAAGCACTTAAACCAATAACACACATTATTTTTGGATAGGAGCAGTTGAAGAAAGTTGTCAGCTTAAGAACCTTTGGGTTCCTAAGAACCCAGTTCTTAGATTTGAGAACAAAGTTTTTGGGTATGAGAACCCAGTTTTTAAGTTTGAGAACCCGGTGTTTAGGTTTGAAAACCAAGTTCTGAAACAGGGCTCTAAGGTATTGCTACGAATTCCATAGAGAACCTCCAGATACTCTGGGGAACCCTCACAAATTTTCTCAACCGTTCCTGCCACTAAATGTCTTTCCAGTTTAAGCACTATCTTAGCAGATCTGAGCCACTCGCTCATACATAACTATGAACCAAAGATCTAGTATGTTCACTATTGTTTACAGCCTTATCGCTAAGGTAATTAGAAATTTCTCACATAAAAACTTGGTTTTATACTCGAAATATTTCTCGCAATGTAACTATCGCATTAGATTTTTTTATTTGAAGGGGGGGGGGGGGGGGTGAGGGAAAAGGGCGAAAGCAGATTTTTTAACATACAAAACAAACAGCTTAAAAAAAACATTTTTTAGCATGTTTTTTTTAAAAGGATTACCATTTCTCATTCAGAACTTTTTTAGAAGTCTGGATAGCATAGGTAGGGGATGCACATTACAAGCTGAACTTTCCACAAAAAAATCAACAGAATATTTTGTTTTAGGACTAGTTTTAGCGATTTTTTCAAAATATGCTTCTATTTCGAGATCAATGCCTCGAAATAGAGACACATTTACGGATCGCTCCACTCAAAATGTGTCTCGTAATGTAAATATATTGCACCAAGAAAGCTCCTTAAAAGAAGGGGGCAGGAGGTGTTCATTATGCGTCATATGTGTCCTGTCCGGACACATAAAAGTAAACGTTTTTTGGGAGTTGTACGTCTCCTGGACGGCTCCGGATGAATCATCTCGCAACTTGCAGCTCACCCTGGGGAATCTCCCTCCGGAAGGTCTCGTAGATTTGGGAGACGTACGAGACCATGGTCAGCTTGTCCGGAACCGCGCAGTCCACCATCTCTTGACCGGTCATCACGGGCGGGATGCCATACTCCCGCTCCAGGATGTCGAACGCCTGGCCACCCATGCAAACGACAAGCCTCGTAAGCTGGCGGCGCAAGCACGACGCTCGGATCGTGTTTCTGACCGGTGCGTCCAACGTCCTTAGCAGGTACGCATCAAAAGAGGTCCCGACGCAGCAATTAATTAGGTCACTGGAGCCGGCATGTTACGCCGCGGGGTGTCGCAACCCCGGCACCTGGTCGCAGAAGTTCCGGCAAAGAAAACGAGAAAATGCGAGTGTTGCCGTCGTTGCGGTGTTTGACTCCCGGCCGCCGAAGCTTCCGTAAACTGTCAAGCTGGACGGCCAGGATAGCGACAGGCGACAACACAACATTTCTACGACGACGTCGGGGGGGATATGAAGGGACCACTTTTGGGACGTGGTAGACGCACCAGTTGGAGATGTTGTGCACGTTTCGGAATTTCTGCATGTTTAAGAACATAGAGTGCAAACTCGTTAAAACCAGTCTGATCGGTTAATTCAGAAAAAAAAAAGACGTTTACCATTTCCTGTAACGCCGGATTAGAACACAGCTCTTGAGGAGGCGGATGGAAGGGTACTGAGGGATAGGTGACTCCTTGAGGTCACGTGACCTCAGGGGGGGGTCGTCTGACGTCAGGGGGAATCACGTCACCTGAGGGGGGTCACGTGACCTTGGGGTGGGGTCACGTGAACTCAGGGGTGGGTCACGTGAACTCAGGGGTGGGTCACGTGACCTCAGGGTGGGGTCACGTGACCTCGGGGGTCGTGTGACGTCAGGGAGGTCACGTGACCTCGGGGTTGTCACGTGACCTTGCGGTTACGCCGACGGCAACGCCGCTCAGGCCGGAAACGGGCCCCTAAGAGTTGCGCTCTAAAACTTGCTGGCCCGACGGGCGTGGACAGTTCTTCCGTCCGTGCCATTAAAAGCGAGCTTTTCCAATGTGTCCTCCCATCACAGACATTTGCAGGTCAGCGCTGGGTTCTTAAAGGGATGCTGAATTGAAATCTGGATTGCACGAAACATGCGGCAAAAGCATACAATGGGATGCTACAAACACCAAAACATCACTCGTACAGCGATATCTCGAACGGACGACCATATTTTTCAAAAAAAGAAAGCGCATTTGACAGATATGTATACGTTTTGTTTCTCCGAGAAGGAGAGGGAACGGCCTTGCGTCTTCTCCGCCTCGCTGCCTTAAGGGAGCGAAGCGAAGAGAGGAGGAAACAAGATACTTTGACGTTACGCACCTCGTCGGCCTGGTTCAATCTCGACCACTTTTTCCAGAAATATGGCCGTCCATTCGAGATATCGCTTTATGAGTAGTGTTGTAGGGATTGTAGGCGTCCCGCCTAAATCTCCTGCAATGTTTGTTTTTTTTAAATCCAAATTTCGGTTCACCATTCCTCTAAGCTTGCGGACACATTTTTGCCAGAGGACAGCAGCATTTCTCATAAACTGTTTTAACACATCGTATCGATAATGTCCGACAACTGCACATTGAATGGACGGGAGATGACTACCAAGGTCCACCAGAGTGAAAAAACAAAACAAAAAAAAACAACTGACATTGATGAACCAAGAAGGCAAAGATCTTTGATCCCCAAGAGCAATATAAATTTTCATTCATTTCGCAATTCACTTTTGCTTAGACCGCTCAATTACCGATAAACCGGCCAACCGGCTCCATGACTCATTAAAGTTATAATTTACTTTAAAGGTATTTGCATCCTGTGTGTTTGCTTAAAACCCACCAAGGTCTCGCTTACCGATGAGCTCTGATGTCACGAGTTGTACGGTTAGCTGTGCAGCTCGTGCAGAAACACTGCACAATTTGAAAGGGACGCCACAATCGGATGTGTACGGAGGGCGGTGGACTTTACCCGTTGGTTGTTTGCAGCGATGTTGTCGGCCGAAAGCTCGTCGAGGTCGATGAGGTCGGGACGATACCGGTGCAAGATGGCGCACAATGCAAGGCCGTCCTTCCAGGAGGTAGTCATGTTCTCTATCTTGATTCGACTGTACAGCGCCACCTGCCGCTGACACCAGGACAACAAAGCGTCCGGGTGGATGATAGACTCTGCCCAGAAGCAAAAGAAAGTGCATCGCAATGGCTCAGCGAGAGATGTAAGATTCACCTGGGGCACGTTACAATCTCTAAAAAGGAATTCTCTTTGTGCGTGGCTTCAGAACAGCGGCAGTTGAGCTGCATACATATCAAAAATCACCAGTTGTTTGCAATACGAAAGCTAGGGCGAGTTGGCGATTCATTTTGAAGTTACAGCGCACAAGACAGGAGAAAACGAGACACACAGACAAACACAAGCGCAGCATATTCACTCCAAAGGGTTCAGCATTAACCTATATCAGATCGTTCAAGGAAATTCCAGGTTGTCCGATACAAACTAAACAACTAATGTTCGGCATGTTGTGGCAAGTGATTCTCTAGCATGCGATGGTGCACCGAAACTGTAAACGCCCATGCCAGTGCCAGGGCTGCCGACCCCAGTCCAGCTCGTTGAAGGTCATTCAAGGTCATTCCTCACCTCTCCGCCTCCTCTTCTTCTGCATGTCGGTGAGGGGGCGTGGCCCCGGCGGAGGCAAGCAGATCTCCGTGTCGGTGCGGCACAGGGAGCGCACCTGGGAGGGCAGCACCGCCTGCAGGTTCAGGTTTGGGTAGCGCGAGCTCGGGTTCAGGCTGTACTCCCCCAGGTCCTTGGTCAGGTTCTCGGGTGTCGTCTGCGCCAGCAGCCGGTAGATGGACTCCCGCTCCGCTAGAACCTGCGTGCAGGAGAGGTTTGTCTATTTATTTATTTATACTGTAAGTGCACTCAAGACCCAGACGGGTACGGGACAATGAAACATAGTGCACATAAGCATTCATACACGGCATATAAAAGAAAGCATGCATGCAAAACACAAATATATTACGCCATTTTATAAAAACAAAACTTAGATCTTCAAATAGGACTTGTTGCAAGAAAAGTTTTCTGAAAACTAACATCTGCGGATGCCAGTAGTCATCATTCGTGTTCTAGCTTTCATCGGCTAAATCAATGAAACGCAGTGGATGCCCCATGACTCGCGATTTTAGTATGTGTGTGCATGGTTGCATATGTTGGAGTCTTCGACTGTGCTCTGACCTAAGATGAAACAAACTATATGGTGAGTGAAGACGTTGCGATATGCTTGTTTTTACCAGTTTTCTTTCTTTCCGCTTGTACAAATATTAAACTTGACAAATAACAAAATATATTTATTTTTTGGTTTGTTCGAGCTTACCTTGGCCCAGGTGTGGTGCAATTTTCTGCACAAATGGCATTTTGGCGCAAGATGTAGTGAACTTACGTTCCTGGCGCAATTTGGCACAGCACTTCCATCCACGAAACGGCGTCACTAACTCGGTCGTCTGCGGATGCGCCCAACCTTGACTTTGACAAATTTTTTGCTGTCATTCTTTTACAGAAAGAGGACTTCACCTTGAAATTTCACACTGTAAGACTTACCTGCTCGGTGCAAATTCGTTGAAAGTTTGAACCTTCTATGAGCAAACACCAATTCTTCCAATTCGTTTTATGGTGGAGGGTCTGCCTAAGACACCCTAAAGAATGCCCACCAAATATTTTCTCACGTTCGACACAAGGTACCCTATTCACTCAATTCTAAGCAACTCCTTTTTTTCACACCCGCAATGTTCGAAGAGGGGGGGGGGGGGTTGCTTAGATTCGGAACATGCCTCGAAAATACGAAATTTGCACAAGAAATATGAATTTATTATAATCAAAATGAAAGAATAAATGTTCTAAAGGAATTAAATAAAGACTGGAGAGCAGCCCGCTTGCCATCAGTTTGCACCACGGACGACTAGTCGCTTTCGCGACTAGTCTTTTAAGGATGATGTAAGGCGCAAGTTTCCGACCATCGGCTGTGATGCACAGCATTACGGTCACCCTTTGTTTCTCATAGCCAGTCGTACACACTTTTACTTCTCGGGCGCCCACTTCGTTCGTGGTGCACGTCCTTGGCATGTCGATGTACACAGGGGTCTCATCGGCGTTGCCGATCTGCCCGAGTCCGGAGCAAGATTCGCGATGCAGCTTCATCACATAACGTTAGAAAGCTGACAAGCTTGTCCTCAAAGTCGACCGGTAGCTTCTGGCAGATAGTGGTGCGGCGTCTCAAAGAGAAACCGTTCCTCTTCATCATCCGCTCCACCCAGCCTCGGCTTGCATGGAACGCCGCACTCCGAACTGTTCAGCAGCACCGTGATTTCCATTGTCTTCCGCGTAAGAAATAACCGTTCTCTTGAACTTCATCGTGTATGAAGTACTCTTTGCTATCATGACGGACGACTTCCACAAACCATGTGCATACAGTGAACGGAATACGATTGCAAGGCCAACGCGGACGAATAGGCTTAACAGACTAAACAACCGACTGCAACAAGCGCAAGGAGACCAAAAAAAAAAATCATTTTCGATAGAGGGTACGGCAACACTCCTTTTTTCGCAACCTGCAACAGATGCGAAAGTGGAAAATGGCAATACGTGCTGCCACCTATTAATTGACGCTGAAACCAAGCGCCAGCGGCCGTTCGCGACTCTGGCGCTCGGCGATACCGGCGTCACCAATCTCAAATTTCTTGTTGGGAGGGGGGTGCTTACATTCGCATGCAAACTTTTTTTTCAGGTGTTTATGTTTGAAAGTGGGGGGGTGCTTAGAATCGCGAAAATACGGTAGTTTGGCAGAGGCAAACACCGCAGCAGTACTCCGAAGACACTCACGTGAAGCGGGGAGTCCTTGTTCATGGCCCAGGAACGCATCATCCAGGCCGCATCCAGGGAACTCAGAAAGCCCCGAGCACAGCCGGATCCGGTGGGCCAGAAGGGCTGCACGTCAAGTGAGGGCAGACAAGTCACGTCACAGTCACCGGGATTGGGGAAATACATTGCCGAAACCATCCTTGCATTGTTTATGAACAATGTAAAGATGCATTGTTCATAAACAATTTTCTTCTTTTCAGTGGCCTTAAAAAGGCCACTGAAAAGAAGAAAAAAATATTTCTTTAAGCAGTTTAGTTGGGACAGGCGTGCAAAAAAAATTAATGTTATGCGAAAAAAAAAAAAAAAATTTAGATCAATATTGACGTTGCGAGATGCAATTTAGTAGCTAGTCACCTCCTATACACTTGTTTTCTCTTTCGGCATTTCGTGGCGCGTGGAGGAGAGGTGGATCGGCTTGGCCATCTCGCTAAGGTGGAGAGAGTGTATGACTATCTCGTTTAGGTGAAAAGAGTAAGACCATTCTGTGACGTCATGAGCTTGACAAACAGTATTTAAAATAAATCTTGCGCATCAATATTGCTCTAAAAAAATTTTTTTTTGTGTGTAAAATATATTTTTTTACATGCATGTCCCAATTATCGTATTTACTCAATACTAATGCGCCCTCGATTGTAACGTGCACCCATTTTTCGAGGTCGAAAAAAAAAAAAAAAACGCGATGACCTCGATTGTTACGCACACCAAATTTTGTAGGTTGGATACAGAAATGAAACTTTTTCTCACTTGGAACAAAAAAGTTTTATTCCAAATGCTTCAATCTTGCGATGAAATGAACGGCACTGTCTCTCGCTGGCAAGGTCGTCATCACGATGACGGTCCGATGCAGTGCCCGTGGGGCGCTGCATCGGACTGTCGCTGACGAGTGATGCATACCACCCCACGGTATGCATCACTCGTCATCGTTGTCGGACGACTCCTTACCACTGTCAGCGACCGAAAGCATTTCATCTTTAGTGCCATCCATAGCGTTAGAAATTCCGCACTCCTTGAAGGCCTTGATAACCATGGCAGACGGGATCGTGCGCAACGCATCTTTCGCCCATCGCACGTGATGCGGCCCGATTTCCATCACCCTCTGCGCACAATATCACTTTTCTTTTGAATCCAGCATCATGGTGAACACGGCGTGTCTTTGCAGTGGGAACTTCCACGCTGATACGAACGCAAGAAACACACGAGCTGGCTACTCTCTAAGCCTCTCAGCTTCTCAGCGCGTAATTAAGCGGCCATTTTGAAATGTCGAGGGCAATACGGTAGCGCAGTTTTGGGTTGCACTCGATTCTAGCGCGCATGCGATTTTTGAACCTATTTCCCCGAAAAAAAGGTGTGCATTAGATTTGAGTAAATACGATAGTAGATTGTTTAAAAAAAATTGTAGAGCCCTTCCATTTCACTGGAAGATGGAGGACCAGTGAAGCTGTTATCTTTACGTCTAGGACGAGGCCTAGAGGACGACGTCTAAGATGACCTCAAGGACGACTTCTAAGACGACCTCCAATACAACCTCTAGGATGACCTCGAGGACGACGCCTAGAACGACCCCTCAGATGAACTCAAGGACGACTTCTAGGACGACCTCGAGGACACCGCCTAGAGGACGACCTCTCGGACAACCTCAAGGACGACTTCTAGGAGGACCTCGAGGACGACGCCTAAAACGACCTCAAGGACGACTTCTAGGACAACCTCGAGGACGCTGCCTAGAGGACGACCTCGGACAACCTCAAGGACGACTTCTAGGATGACCTCGAGGATGGCGCCTAGAACGACCTCTCAGACGACCTCAAGGACGACTTCTAGGACGACCTCGAAAACGCCGCCTAGAGAACAACCTCTCGGACAACCTCAAGGACGACTTGTAGGATGACCTCGAGAACGACGCCTAGAACAACCTCTCAGACGACCTCAAGGACGACTTCTAGGACAACCTTGAGGACGCCGCCTAGAGGACGACCTCTCAAACAACCTCAAGGACTACTTCTAGGATTACCTCGAGGGCGACGCCTAAAACAACCTCTCAGACTACCTCAAGGACGACTTCTAGGATGACCTCGAGGACGGTGCCTAGAGATGATAACAAGGGATCAGGACCTCACTATCGAATAATGCCAGGGAAGGCTGACTCACGCTGGTTGCCCCCTTTTTTATTCTTATTTATTCATACTTGCCATGACTAATGGGGAGTTTTCTGTCAACATCTGCGGAAGCATTTTTTCCCAGATCCTAGCACATAACAGCGTTGCTATAAAACATTTTTTTCTTTTCAGTGGCCCGTTAAAGGCACACTGACAGGGTATTTATGCTCGCCAAGGTTTTTATTTGTACATGACATATGAGAACCCAGCTAGCCAGAACACCATTTGCGGCTCAAAGTTCTTTTTTTTTCCACCCGAAAACCACCAATCGAGAAATGGCCAGTTTTAGTCACACTCCCTCTCTTCTTCATGGTCATGTGCCGTTCAAAAACAACCATCAAATATAATCAAAGTCGTGAATCCCCGACGGCACACACTCAAGATTAAAAATAGAAAAAAATATGGAACCCACTTTTTTTTAATTTTTAAGAAGCTGTAAATAAGTTAGAGTATCGGAAGCACATGCACTGTGTAATTCTCAACATGGCGCTGTATCGCGGGAGTCACATGCTGGATCGTTGGATGAAGCGGACTAAGCGATGGCGGCAGACAACGGGCGTAGGACCTGCACTACAGAACTGTCGTTCGCGGTACTGGAGAATCTGCCTAGCTTCAAAAGAGAAATTGTTTACTGTTAGGATTTATTTAGTATGACACGCCCGACCACCAAGCTGATTCGCACAAAGACGTTGCCGAGTCATCCCTTAACCTGGCTGAAGACATAGCTCGTCTTACAAACACAAATTGGTGAGAGGTTGAAACACGTTTAAATGTCAAGCACGAAGTGCGTACCTGGTGCTGAATATGCATGTGTACAATTTCATTACTATATCCGTTTTCACCTCAAGAACCATAGTAAACGAAGTCCGGCTCCTCACGGAGCATTACTAATTTCCCCTTTTTATAGAAAATTAAGACACATGTAGGTATATTTTAGATTAGACATATGTTATCTTATCAAGACATACATGTTTCAAATGCAAAAAAGGCATCACTTTCTCCTCCGACAACCATCTACTGTAAGAACTACTTTGTGCGGCATACGAACAATGCGCAAAACTTCCTTTTTCTTCAGGTGAAAACGAGTATAGGTGCAAATGTGGCCTATTCGTGGTGCTGCCCAACTTCCGAGCCTGGGGAGTGCCTTTGCACCGGGGAATCGGCAGCAAACTTTTCGATCTACAGTCGACTGGCTGCATTATTGCGATTGAGGAGCTCCCCCTCGTGTGCCTGACAGGCATTATTGCGATTGAGGAGCTCCCCCTCGTGTGCCTGACAGTTACAATGTTAAAACTTTCGTCTGCTTTGCAGAACCAAAAAAAATTAAAGTTAAAAAAAAAAAGCAGTCAGGAGTCGTTTTGTGAATTCCGGCAACTCTCTCCTCCTCTATATTTCTCCATCCTTTCTAGTCGACATGTCGCACCATTACTCCTCCGTGCTTGTGTTCCGGTTTTGGTTTCGAGCAGTTGCGTTTTATGGCTTTGTTAAAAATATATGTGACCCTGTAGCAAAATATTGACCGTGCAGTCTCCTGACACCATGTTAAGTCGCCTGGCAAAAAATAAAAATAAATTTTTGGGGGGTGTCAGTGTCCTTTTTTAAGGACCGTTCACACACTTATATTTGGTTACGACCGAGTTCTTGCGATCTTTTACGACGAGATGCTGGCGCCATCTATGAGGCGACTCTGGAACTGCATTTCGCTAGAGCAAAAGTTCTGCGGCATTTGCAACGTCAAATGTGTGTACGATCTGTCAGAAATGGTCATTTATAACCCCATGAAAAGTTTTTCGAACCAAGAAAGAATATTATGCGAAAAAAGTAGGAAATATACGAAAATGCTAAAGGTTCCACGGCCACCCGACAGGTGGCACCAGTGTATTCTCTCGTCGTAAAAGATTCAGAGAGGTTTTAAGGCACTCGATCGTTAGGAGTCGCCAGTACGTGAGCCAGTCCTTAGAAGAGCCCAAGTGACAGCTGAAAAGTGACTAAAAACAGTAACATGTTCTACAAGGTAGAGATTCTCAAACCTTTCTACCGGCCGAGAAATTTCTGGTCCGACAGACTTTCTGCTGCCTGGACATCCATACAACCATGAAGGTAGGAAGAAGAGGAGACGACATACCAGCTCAAGCCAGCCAAGCGAGCAAATCCGGAGTGAAGCCGGAAGTAGCGGTCGCAGTTGGTGGAAACGCCCCCAAGGGTGACTAAAGAAACTGTTGCCGCCAAGTCAGCTCTCCTTTTTGTCTAATAAAGGGTATTCACAGGAGGAATACTTTTCAAAAAGGGATATGCAAGACGTCAGTGATCGGTGGAACCAGCGGGGCTCCCTCCCTGACTCAAGCATTCACACGAACAGCAGGGAGCTGAGAGGGATGTCAGTGTTATCCAACGCTTTCAGCAGTCACACTCTCGACAACAGGGCTCATTGTGCACCGATGAGAGTAGAAAAATGGAGGCGTACATGAAACGGTAATACGAGACTATGGCAGCAGCGCTGTCAGATGCAGAAGACGACGAACTGCTTCTTGCTAAGAGAAAGATGTTTCTTGAATGGGTGGATGCAACACAAAGGATGGAAAATCAAAAACCAGTTGTATGAGGAGCAGCTTGAGGATGGCATTGATGAATATCGAAGACTACTTCGGGTGCCTCGGACAACGTGCCTAACAGTGCAAGCCACAACAAGTGGGGGTGTGCGAATACCGAATAGTAGTTATCGAATCGAATACCAAATCGAATTAAGAAAAAAAAAATGAATATTGAATCGAACATTGAATAGTGATTTTCTTTGTAGGAATTTTTCAAAGTGTGCTGTAAATGAGATGATTATATGTGCAGAGTATGCGCCTGGTGCAAAATATGCGTCTCGTACAGAACAAAAGCTCAAATGTAAAGTTGTGGTGTGAAAAAAAAAGCAGTTGCTGATGAACGTTGGGCACTAAAGATACAATTTTATGGCACAAACATAATCGATCTACCCTAAGCATCACAAAAACCCAAAATTACGACCATGCATGCCTTCTTTTTTGTTAAAAGCACAACCTAAAACACCGCGGCATGTCCTTTTTTTTATATTTATATATTTTTTATATATATATAATATTGCGATATTTGGTCTCAATTTTAAGGGAAAAAAAACGCACCCGGGATTTTATTTTATATAAATAAACAAATAGCTGTTAAATCTGAGTAAACAGGCTCAAACAATATAATTTGAAGTAAGAAAAAAAAAACATGTGGCTAGGTGGCGCAAGTTACCGTCATAATTGCCGCTATGCGTCCATTCCTCCGTCCATCTATCCTGTTTCAGAGAGCCTAGATATAAAAGAGGGAGCAAGCAAAACTGAAACAACGAAGACGGCTCCCTGACGGCTCCTGCGTAGATTGGTCAACTCATAAGTGCGCATGTGTGTTGTGTAGTTGCGTGAAAACAAGGCGAGCAAACGAGAGAGCGACGACGCCTGCCTGATCGGCGCTTTCGTCTTTTTGTCACCAACTCGCAGTTCGTAATTCAAACGCGGCTATCGAACGGTTGGAAACCCTCTCAAATCTAAGCACACTATTTTTCCGTTCCGTTTTGTTCTGAATCAGAATTTGCGGCTAGCGGTTCTGAAAGAACGACGACAATTCGGCCGGTTTCATCGGCGCAGCTAACGTGGTTTTCTTTTCGTGATCTTGCAGTCCCCGATTTCTGTGAGTGTGGCAAGTGTTTTACATCGGTGCTTCAATTTGAAACGAGGGGCTTTACACATGAAATGAATTAGTCATGATGCGGAATTCCGGCCTCCCAACAATGCCTCTCTCGAAGCGGCGCAAACGGAATGTTTCGGTTGTGATTCAAGGTTAAATTGCTTCACGCTCATGAGTAAATCTGCGTGCTATAAAGTTTGTGGCGATAGTTACTTTTCTTTTTTCTAGCCTGAGCATTAGATTTTTGTGGAGTGGTAGGACCAACAGGTGTTTCTTGCATGGTCTGTCGAACATCACGGCGCTAACATCGGGAGAAAAAAATGACAGCCGTTTACAACTCTCTGTAACGCCGAATTAGAGCGCAGCTCTTGAGGAGGAGGAGGGAAGGGTACTGAGGGTCACGTGTTTTGGGGGAGGGGGGGGGGGGTCACGTGGCCCCGCGGAGAAATTTTTCCGCTAGATTTAGCGGGGAAATTTACCCATAATGCACCGCGCAGTTACGCCGATGGCGACGCCGCTCAAGCCGGAAACGGGCGCCTAAGAGCTGCGCTCTAAAAACAAATCTTTTGTCCACTCCGTGCCGAACGCGCGTCTCTGGCCGAATATATAGAATATTAGAGTTACCGAATACTAGGAATTCGATTCACGAATCGAATTATTCGGGGACTTTCTATTCGATTTGAATTTGTATATTCGAGTATTCACGCACCCCTAACAACAAGTTAGGCAATCCCGATGCCACCGCCGGCATCTCGCTGAGCAAACTCTGTAAAGTTGCCAGACACGCAAACAAAATACCACCAATTGTAAATGGATCCCAGCCAAGGCGGGAGCGTTTGTGCAGCCCGAGGAAAAGCTCCCCCATCGCCCTGGTATGCCTACGTCAGCGTGGCTCCGCACAAAAGCATCACATTGCTACCACGTGATGAGCATCCCGAGGAGCAAAGGGAGGGATTTCTCCCCCGTGTAAATACCCATACAGTGTCTTGTGGTTTTGGTCGTCGTTGGGGGCGTGTCCCTCCAAACCGGAAGTCTCCCCCGGCTTCACCCATAATGGTATCATGTCGCCTCCCAAAACTTTCGACCTCCATGTATACAACAAATTAATTATTTACTTTTAGACAAGCAAAGGAAACAAAAAAATGACCGCATCTCCACGCGGTGAATGATGTTGATTGGGGCGAAGCTCTGGTGGTGCATAGACGCTGAGCCGCAGCCGTGCCGAGCTTTTCGCTCGTTTTCATCCATGTCAGAGAAGAATGTGTGGTGTGGAACGTGGTTATATATGCATTTGAGCATTTGACCGCAGCGCCCTCTCCTGTATAGATGTAGAGCGGCTACATGCAACGTTTCATCCATGACATCCCCAGCTCTTGAGTTATTACCACATCTCAGAGCCCCCTACTCGTCCCGCAGTCGTGGCCGAGTGGTTAAGGCGATGGACTAGAAATCCAATGGGGTCTCCCCGCACAGGTTCGAATCCTGTTGACTACGCAAACATTTTTAAAGAAGACAGCTGGGATGGCAATCGATGTGAGCACGGACGCCGGACAAGGCTAGACCCTAAGGAGCTTCACCCCTAAAAAAAAGTCAGATATCACAAATTTTTTGTGGTCACTAAACGTTCCCCGTTCTGCACACCTATTTGCAAGATAAATTGAATAGAAAAAAGTCACAAATTCTCTCTCACCTCTAGTAGGCAGTCTCCTACAAGCCCCTGAAGCAGCCAGTGCCCGCGCCGTTCCAGCAGACGACAGGCGTTGTCTGCCGCATACATGGATGTGAAGTCGAACATGGCCACATCCGCCTGCCCGTAGTGGTTCACGGCAAACTCCAGGCTGGGCAAGGCGTAGCCCGTCGCAAAGTCCGCAGCGTCCCTGGCATACTCTGTCAGGGCGGCCCGGTCCACATTCTCCGGGGAGAGGAGGCTCGCGGTGTCGCTGTAGTCCTGCTCGAACGCCACAAAAGGTCACAATGTAGTCTTGTCAAAAGGTCATGTGGTAGTCCCGCCAGAAGGTCACAAACATTGTTTACAGCTTCTGTTAAGAGGTCATAGAGGCTCCTATGATCCTGCCTAAAGGCAACAAAAATTCCTCTATTACGCCTGCCAACTTGTGGACCTTCAAATTCGTATAACTCCCGCGGTTCCAGAGGGAGGGGAGGGGGGGGGGTTGTAAGAGGAAGGCAATTTTGAGGATCAATAATGGTTTTTATTTTGTCGGCAATTTTTCTGTTGCCGACTTCGCCTGCTTTAGAAAGTTTTCAGAAACACAAGCAACAGAGGCCGGACTGCTCGCCACAAACCTGGGCGAAACAGCGAGGCTGAGCCACGGCTGAACACGCCGAGCCAACGTGCGCCGCCAAACACACGAACAAAGGCTTTGAGCCTTGGATTGGTTTTGGATCCGTGGCCATTGGAGAGGAGTAGTTGAAACCACGAAGCTGCCGCGGACAGTACCTATCGCCCTCTTGTGTCAATGCAAGGTACCGCCAACAGCAATCTCTTTTTAGCATATTTTTGCAAAATTTGAAGCAAGATTTGTGAAATCGTAAAATTAGTCCCAATTCATACATTTTCCGGAAGATTCAGAAGAGCTGGCAGGTATGCGCTACGGACAGCCGAAAGGTCACAGTATAGTTTTGTCAAAAGGTTGCACTACAGTCCTGACAAAAGGTCGCAAAGGTCGCAAAAGTCACTAGAGTTATACGAAAAGGCAACAAAAGTCACTCTATCGTTTGACCCAAAGGTCGTTGTATAGTCCTGACAAAAGGTTGCACTGCTGTCTGCTGAGAGATCACTCTATGGTCCTCCCAAAAAGGACACTCTATAGCCCTGTCAGAAGGTCACAAAGTTTTGATTTCACTCGTATAAGAATAGCATTTTGTTATTGGCTATCTTTTTTTTTTTTTTTTGAGAGTGTGTGCCATGGGCATCAGGTACTACAAAATCGCCAAGTAAAGCGCAAGTTATGAACTCTGTGGCAGAGTTACGCTTTGCATGCAGCAGATTCAGGTCTGACTTCCGTGGGCGGCGGGCAATCTTTTTCAAGGATTTGACAACATTGACGACGGACGCCCTACATCACCAACTACAACATCAATGACTGACGTCACTTCCAGTAGTGGGAACAGCCCAATGCCCACAACAACTATCGTTGTCAAACCCATTACTGAAACCATAAGTAAAAATAGGAAACGGACCACATACCTTACCAGTATAATAAGAAAGGCGCTTTCATTGAGAAGAAACAATCAAAGTCCTTAGCTCGGCACCTTGCGTTTTAACATGCCTGTATCGCACTGAGAAACGTCTGCTTTATAACCATTGGACTCAAACTTTCCACGGTCCTGTAGGAAGGCCACTCCAGTAAAGATCGAGTCTTTTTCCAATGGCACCGACGGTGGAGCCGCAGCAAGCGCAACCCGGTTGTCGAAGCCCATCTCTCGAAAGTGCCGCGCATATTTTAGTCTGGCACTCCCTTTCAGTTTGCCTTCCTGCCACTATACTTTGCGTCACAAGTTCCACCTTACCACGAAAAAAGCCACATCTGCGCTTGGCCACCTGCAGTGCGAGCAGTGTCGTTATCGAGAGGAAGAGATTGAGTGCACTCACGTCGATGATGACTCCCCGGTCCAGCAAACTCTGCTTCTTGGCGGTCATCACAAAGTAGTGAGTGTCGTCCTTGTAGTACACTATGTTCTCCAGGTCAATGCCTGTGCTCTCTCTCATATCCTGCACAACAAAGAGAGCAACCGTTGCACTACCGATCACTCCTAGCTTTCATGCAACCCTGGTCTTGAACATAGGTGTGCTTGTCTCTGCAACTCTATTTCCTTAATGCAGAATGCATATTAATGAAAGCGAAGTTGGAACTTGTGTTCACTCGCCATACCGTTGTCTGCCAAATTTAGCGAGCTAACATCCCGCTGAATTTACTGGGATGCCACTATGACTAACATGGTTGATGCCACTTTGGGTCACGTGAATATGTGACCTTCGTCAGGTTACACCAGGTCCTCGTCAGGTCACGACGAGACTCCGTGGCACCAGAAAGTCTAGTTGTGGTGTCACGCCATGTCAGTTCACATGGTGTCGCGGTGTCCCGTGACACTGCGCAACGTGACGTGACATCGCGCAACATGACTTGACACTTTGATGTCACGCTACTCAGATACATGAAAAGACCGCCAATGCGTGCTGCATAAGGGACGTTTGGGCAGTAGATTAATGAAGCCCCTGGGTGATTCCACGAGAGATCGAACCTGCAGGTCCATTCAACATTTTTATTTTTTTCTGGTTTTTTCATATGTGATGTACACACAAATAAATCGCACGAGACTGAACTCTTTCTCTCGAAAACGCGTTTTCACTACGAGAAAAAAAATGTTTCAAGATTGTGTGACAGCCCTGCTCTCACCGCGAACTGCATTAGTTGCCACCTTTGCGGTCCTGTGGAAGGCAGGCAAAGAGTGGTAGGCCAAAAATGTTTCCTGTTTTATGTAACAGACTAAAGTTTAAGTCAACTGCATGCAATTATTTTGTCCTTTATGAATTAAAAAAAATATATATATAAAAAATTTAAAACTTTAACCAGGTGCAACAAATACACTAATTTTCAGGCCTTCTACCTTAATATGTATGGCATTAGCGACTTTGAAAACTAGAAATAATAAAGGCCAGGGCATCTAAATTATACCTGCAAAATATGAACTTCCAATAAAAATAGAAACATAAAAAAAAAATATTTTGAAAGAACACATTTAAAAAAAAATATCCATAGTGAAAAAATAAAATAAAAAAAATACCCGGTCTCGATTTTATTAAAACTCTGGGTCTCCTTAGGCCAGGCAACAAGAATGTACAAAAACATGTTGCATCATTTGCTTAGTAAAAAAGTTCTGAGCGGTCAAAGTGGCGGTTGCGAGGCTGTTTCGACTCCGGCGTTTTTCGCTTCACCCTGCTAGGTTTTTTTTTTTATTTTTTTAAGGAGAAGTAATTTTTTTTTGCCACAAATAAGAAATTTGTGTGTTGTAGCTTGCTGTAATAAAAGCATATTTCCAGATTTTTTTTTACCTTTGTTTTTCTTGTGGTGTTTACGTGCACTCATGAAAGTTTACACTCCTTAATCGACACAAAAAACTCTGAGTGACCTATGTGCTGCGCGCATTGAGTGCACAACGGCGACGTCTGTCGCCTCTCCCGTTGCTTCGTCTGCGCTGCCAAACCAACTGAAGCCCGAAGGTTTCGCAATGCTGTTGCGACCGTGGAGATCCCCGCTGACGACCAACACCAGCGGCCACGAACCAGGCAGAGTCAAAGTTCACGTGCAATGAACCTCTGTATCTGTGCCTTTCCTGGGCATACACGCACAAACACATAAACGTCCAGATGACATCACTGACACGCCGACACCAACTCTGCCACCGCGCATTTGAAAAGAGTCTAGCTGAACTGTCGCGCCCAGAGTTTTCTTCAAGGGGACAAGCCGTCATATTTAGGTCGTTGTTACGTTTTTAGACGCAAGGAAAGAAGCGCATGAACAATGTTCTGTTCATGCAGGGGTTAGGCTGAAGTCTGCTCGAGTTTCGTTTATTCGATTATTAGAACTGTAGAGAATAGAGGCACCACGCCTTGTGTACAAAGGTACGGGGCACTTATGTTACGGAGGAGCCAAGGCGGATGTGTACGTTAACCCCACGGCAAACGTGAGTTCAAATATCTTACTAGCTCCTGAGAGCGACAGCGACCGGGAACCACATATACCGCGTGGCAAACGTGAATGAATCTCCTCCTTGGCTTCGCCTTAACATAAGCGCCCTGTAGCCTTGTACCTGAGACGCTGTTGTTTTATTTCCTACAGTTTTAATAAATGAGACATGCAAAGTCCAAGCGCGATTAAGGAGCGTAAACTTTCACGAGTGCACACGAGTGCACGTAAACAACCACAAGAAAAAAAATTTTAAAAATCTGGAAATTTGTTTTTTATTACAGCAAGCTAAACACATAAATTTCTTATTTGCGACAAAAAAAAATTTGCTTTTCCTAAAAAAAAAAAAAAAAAGAGAAAAAAAACTTGGCGGGGTGCAGCGGAAAAACGCAGGAGTCGAGGCGCCTCGCAACCGTCACTTTGACCGCTCAGAACTAGGGGTGTCGTGAACAGGCCGAGGTTCGAGTTCGACCTGGTTCGACTTTTTCGAACTTTTCGTGGAAATTTCAACGAACCTTGTATTGAGGTTCGACTCGTGTGCGCATGCGCGACAGGCTGGCCAGTTGGCTTCGGATTGGATTGTAATGGCTAATGGATGAATTAAGGGCACCGCTGGTTGGTTATTTCAGTTAATACAGTACAAAAAAAATTAAGTTATTAAAGTCTTTAGTGAATAGAAGTGGTTTCTTTTAATTCCAACTGTTCATAAAATAAAATAACCATTTGCATAAAAATAAATTCTCCAAACCTAGACATGCATCTATTAAGGTCTGGCCACACTGACCGCAAAGTCGAACCGGTCGAATCTGGTGAAAAGTTTCGAAGGTTCGTCGAACCGGTTCGACCCACTCGAACCCCGAAAGTTCGACCTAAAAATCCGGTTCGACAAAAGTTCGCGACACCCCTAATCAGAACTTTTGTACCAAGCAAATGATGCAACATGTTTTGAACATCATTGTTGCCAGGCCTAAGGAGAGTTGTGCCCCAGAGTTTTAATATATGTATTCGAGAAAAAGTTTTTTTTTTTTTTTTTTTAATATATTGTAATATCCCGAGTCATCGCCCATCCCCGAGCCATCGCCCACCCCATTTTTTAGGCCAATATCGATTTCCGAAAAAACACCGAGTCATCGCCCACCCCTTCAAATACACCAGCGCGGACTCTGCGATCCGCGAACACTCATCCTACCCGAATGACGCGGCCGCGGACCTTACAGTTGGAGGACGTCCGTGACAAAGTAAAACGAAGGAGGGAAAGACACTTCTTTTTGTTTACGCATTTTCTCCGTGAGCGACCCCAAAGTGGTCGTGTATCCGTGCGAAAGGAAAACGATGGAGATAACAAAATAAGAGTTCGTTAACGTAACCGCGGAGTGTTAGGTCAAAGTCTGTCTTCGCCGAAGTAAGGTCATTGCGAACCCGCTCCTTCTTCCCGCCCGTCGCGACCGCGGTTGTGCAATATTTTAGGCAAAGCCAAAGCGTAAATAAAGCTTTGCTGGAACGTCCTACACAGACGTTTGCAGAGCGTCCCAACCGTGCATTGATAGCCCGCCGTGCACGGACGCACGTATGTACGCACCAAACAAGAAAGTTGCGCAAGAGCTTGCAATTGACAAGGCGCCCGACTTGGCCCGACGCCAAAGTATTTGCCAACGCGACCGCCGGCTTTCCCGCTTTCCCAGCATTGCTCTTGGTCGCTTCTTTGGTCCGCTCGCTCGCTCGCTCGTTGCGCCTGGTCGGTTTTTCTATTTTCTTGTAGACTTTTCTTTCTTTCTTTTTTAACTAACTAGGAGAACATAATGGTCACATTCTTTCACGGAACAAACGTTCGTGCTATATGCAGATCGGCGGTGTTTCTAGCGCGTATGCAAGCATCGAACTTTGCTATAGTAAAATATTCTTTCGTGAGCATTTTTTCTATAAAACAATGAAACTAAATCGAGTTTTGAGTTTGATGTATCTCTTGTGCATCAGCGCTAGATACGCAGAGAAAAATAGGCGGTTTTTCTGCTTTTTTTCAAGTGTTTGTGCTCACCCACCGAGACATGGCCCACCCCACTTTTTTAAAGAATTTCAGGCGGTAGGGGGGTGGGCGATGACTCGGGATATTACGGTAGGTATTTTTTTGAAAATGTGTTTTTTTCAAAATGTATATTTTTCTATGTTTCTTTTTTTATTGGAAGTTCATATTTTACAGGTATAATTTAGATGCCCTGGCCTATATTATGTATAGTTTTCAGAGTCGCTAATGCCATACATATTGAGGTGGAAGGCCTGAAAGTTGGTGTATTTGTTGTTATGATGAATGAAAAGTTATGAATTTTTTAATATATTTTTTAATTCATAAAGGACATAATAATTGCACGCAGTTGACGAAAACTTTGGTGTACTACATGAAACCGGAAACATTTTTGGCCTACCACTCGTTGCCTGCCTTCCACAAAACCGGAAATCTGGCAACTAATGCAGAGTCCGCGGTGAGAGCAGGGCTGTCACACAATCTTGAAACATTTTTTTTCTCGTAGTGAAAACGCGTTTCACGAAAAAAAGTTCAGTTTCGTACGATTCATTTGTGAGTACATCAGATATTAAAAAAAACAGAAAAAATAAAAATGTTTAGTGGACCTGCAGGTTTGATCTCTCGTGGAATCACACCCCTTAATTTTTGCTCTCGTTTTTTTCAGCCGACAAACACAAAAGAAAAGAAGAAACAAAGCCAGTTACGGAGACGCGACAGGCAAGCACGTCGGCCCTCACCTGGAAGAACTTCTGGTTGAAGATGAAGGCCACCCCACTGATCTCCTGCACCCGAGCCTCCTCCAGGGTATGCCTGTTCATGAAGTTGGCCGTGATGGCGATGGCCAGCTTGCCACGGAACTCCTTGCGGTTGAAACCTGCAACCGGAAGAAGAAGCCCTCCGTCTCCTCGCCGAAAGGGCTTGTTTCTCAAGTTTTACGTAATGTAAACTTCCGTTTTTATGTTCGGAACCAAAGTTCAAGAGATGGTCCAATAGTGCCAAAACCACCAATTTTTGTTTCACACCCATGGCCCAGCCTACTCACCAGCTGGAAAACTGGCCAGTGTTCCTCCTCTGGCAAACTAGATACATTTTTTTCACCCAGTAGGAGACCAACATCAGCCAATCCGAAAGCCTGACTGATTCAATTCTCCCGTTCCAGCAGACAATACGAAACGCAGCGATTCGAAAACATTCAACGAGTATTCTTGGGCAGGGGAAACATGGCCATTTCAACCCCGATTTCACAACTAATCATTTTTCTGGTACACGTTTCACTACTCGTTAATGTGATGCATGCTACCACACACTTGTACAGGAGTTTGCAAACCTCGAGATTTCGAGGAAGCCATATTTGCTCTAAACGGTTCTGGCAGTGATGCAGTAAAGCAGTGTAGAAGCCTACAGACGTCGTAAACAATAATGCACATAATACTAGGGAATGTTTAGCTCGTAACTATGCATCAATAGACGGCCCAGATCCGAAAAGAAAAATAGTGCTTAAGTTGGAAGAATTCATACTTAGGGGCAGTGGCACCAAAGAAAATTTGGCTCAGGGGCTCTATGGGTGTACTCTGGGAAGCCCCTCGGTTCCTAGGAACCCATTTTGAGAATCCATGCACTAATACTTCAGGCTCGACATAACTGTGGGTGGTTGTTCGTGCTAAAACGAAGTAGGGACCCCACCCTCGACGACATAGGGAGCCTCCTAAACTGGAGACGGCACTCACCTTTGAGCGTGTTGCGTTTTCCGTCGGCTCCAATGAGCACGTCGAATTCGTACTGGGATGCCGGGTGGTCTGCTGGAAGCACCTGTGCCCTCCAGCCTATCCCTGCACACAGAAGCACACTCCCCTTGGTCGGTTCTATATGGACGGGCAGGCCGAAACTTTTGCGGTAAAACCAAGAAAAAAAACCTGAGAGACTTTTGTACCGTAAAGACTTGGGATAGTTACTGACACTGATCGCATAAAGGGATGCTGAACCAAAATTCAAATTTCGCAAAATAAGGCCGCAGAAGCATTGAGCGGGACGCTACAAACTCCAAAACATCACTTATACATCGATATCTCAAACGGATGGCCGCATTTTTGGAAAAAAAGGGCGCGATCAAGAGAGAACTGTGACATCCCGATCTCCCTGGAATAGTTGAGAATGAGGGGAAGCCAACCTCACTTCTCTCCTTCTCACTTCGGTTCATCAGCTCGATGGGACGAAGCGAGAAGAGGGAATGAGAATCGTGACGTGACTTGTCTCTTCAGCTTCGTAGGCCGTGTTCAATCGCGCACTTTTTCAAAAATGCGGCCACCCATTAGAGACATCCCTGTATGAGTGACGTTTTTGTATTTTGCAGCATCCCGCCTATCGCTCCAGCCTCGTTTTCTGAGCTCCAAATTTTGGTTCAGCATCTCCTTAAGAAATGCAGGACATAGATTTTATGTTCATACGTCTCGTGTCACGGTGCATTCTTTGGCGTTCCGCAATGTCACAGAAAAGAAGACAAAACAACAGCTTGAGGTTCACTATTCCGCACGAAGCTCACCGAATACACTCGCAAGTAGTACCTCAAAATGCTAAATCGGTCGACAGCAAACGTTCCTGTCACATCGTTGATGTGAAGATAAAGAAAGAAAGGCGATAAAGGGGGGGGGGGGGGGCTCACTTACTCTCTTGACTCTGGTCTTCGGGGGGCTCGAGGAGGTCCTTGAAGGTCACGTTCTCGTGCACCTCAACTCCCAGGAGCAGCGCAACTTTCAGGAGGATGAGCTGGAGCTGCCTGATGCCTGGATGGAGCACGCACACATGGACGCTTCGTTGGCCACAGAACATCAAACTGTGCTTCACCTCGCTCAAACAATGCTACGACGAGGACTCTAAAAGGGGCACTACAGCGGTTCTTGAGATCGTCATTCTACCACGCGAACTCAATCTGCGCACCCCAAGTATCCTATAAAACCCAAAATTACAATCATGCGTGGATTTTTTCACCCTAAAGATTGCGACCATAAACAGCGACACTGCCTTTCCTTCAAAATATCTAAAAAAAAAAGGCATATTGCAGTGTTTGGTCGCACATTTAATGAGGTAAAAACACCACGCGAAGTTGTAATTTTGGGTTTTATACAATGCCTAGGGCAGACAGATTGAGTTTTCATCGTAGAAAGACAATCTCAAAATGGAGAAAAATAAATGTAGAAACTAGACCATGCAATCCTAACCAACACCACCTAAAATGGTCAAAGCGTGTGCACTGAAATTTCGGCGTCACCACAGCGAGATCAAGCGAAGACACAGATTGGACACAGATGCTGCATTAGCGTTCGGATAGGCCTGTGTTCAATCAACGCGTCGAAGAACGCTCAGCATAAGGCTCGGGTCCAATTGCCGAGTTGACGCCATTTAACTGTGATGGAGTTTCACGGAATAAAGGAGAGGCTGTTTGCGGGCCTCGATTATTTTAGGTGGTATCGTCCTAGCACCCCTTACAGGAATAGCTGAGCATGCAAACTCCTGGTTCTACACATGGAGAAGGATACGAAACAGAGGTGCTGCAGTAGACTCTGTACATAGTAAAAAGAGTTTAGAAAAAAAAGTTTACTACATTGGAACGTTATATGTATCGGTGCCTCAATTGCCAATGATAGTGCCACTCTCGAAAAACTCACCGAAATTTTGTCTTATTCTCCTAGCAATGATAGCAAAAGCCCAGAAACAATGGTGTAGTTCAGATATATAAGAAAAGAACTGCTTTACTGTAGACAGGTTCATAGGGGAAACATTTTCAATTTCCGGGAGGTTGGGGGGGGGGGAATTGGGGCACAACGGTCCCCTCTAGCTTCCATTATACAGCATGTCTCATAAAAATACTTACCGTAAAGCTCCAAAAGAACGCCCATCCAAAATTAAGAGATAAATGATGAGAACTATGAGGTGAGCAATGCTTAAGGATGTAACAGCATAATTTAATCAAATTTGGTAATAAGCACGAAGAAGGAAGGGGGGGCGGGCTGTTATTACGAACTATGTGGAACGGGAACTGATACCACAGATCGCGGACACGGAAAATCCGAGTCTCACAGTGATAAGTATGCGGGAATCCACTACAAACTCCCCTGTCACAAGAACGGATACCACAAAATGCAGACGCAACACGTTCACACGTCACAGCGCAATAAACGCGAGAGCCCGCTATAAACTCAGGTGTCACGGGAATCGATATCACGTGCGCAGATCATGGACAAAAGTGCGGGAACCCGCTACAAACAAGCACGCCGTGAGAACAGATACCGTAGATTGCGGACGCAGCAGATTCACCTGTCAGAATGCGATAAACACAAGAGAACCCACGGCCAGCACATTTGTCACCTGCACCGATACCACAGATCGCGCGGTTAATGCGATCCCCTTAGGACAGGGGTGCACAACTAAACATTTAGGCGGGCCAAAATTGGTTCATTGAAAACTGTGTGGGCCGCACCTAGTGCGACGTGTTGCACATCTTGGCTGCGGTCAGGCTTCCGATATCATATGTCATCTCACTCGTTGCCGTCGTCAGCACATCCCGCAATGTCATGTCCTTCAGGGAAGGTCGAGGGCGGTTGTTGTTGAGAGTCATCAGTGAAAAGGTTTGCTCACAGACATACGTGCTCCCGAAATGTGACGACAATTTCTAGGCGTTGTCCACCAGGTTTCCGTACTTGTTCTTGTCTAGGTTTTTGTAAAACTCAGGCAGATGAAATTCGCGATGAATAGTCTTCAGCGCCGGTGGACACTGGAGGTCGATAAGCCCCAGTTTCATCGTCGGATCGCAGTCCTCCAATCCGACAATGCGACCCCTAACTGTCCCAAAAAGAAGGGAGAGGGTTGATAGCGTCCGTGGTGAAAGAGGGAAGGGATCTGTTGAGAGAGAGCAACAAGTTTTCGCGTTCCGAGTACAGACATGTTGATTCAGATCCACACCATGGACAGGGACAGCTGCACATGCTGTTTTATTGTTCTCAGCGGGATTAGTAAAGAGGGAAAATTTGAATTGAGAAATCGTAGTTACTTCGCCAAAGACAGAGAAGTAGGTCAGAGGGCTTCACTGCTGCTTGCCAAGCGGAGCGAGCGCTCAATTGATTGAATGGCATAGTAAGCGAATTTCTGTGCTAAGCCGGGCCGCGGGCCGCTAGAAAAGCGCTCGCGGACCGCACGTGGCCCGCGGGCCGTATGTTGTGCACCCCTGCCTTAGGATATCATGTGGTTGATGTGATTCCCTTAGGACATCTTGTGGTCGATATTCAGTGGCAATCGTGGGGTGAAGGATTTTTCGGAATTTTTATGTTACGGACGTGCAACCCAGAAACGAGATAAGCAATCTCTTGCTTGCGGGTGTTCTCTTGGAACTTGCAGTAGTGTTTTTAATCGCGAAAATAAATTATGCATCACCGAACGCTCAGTCTTTGCCCAAAAATAACCCTAGCAGTCCAGAGCCATGTCAAATTTTTAGAAAAAAACATTACCTGAAGTAAAATGTTACAAGCGGGTTTCGGAAATTTTCAAAGGGAAAATACAGTATATACCACTTACAACGTAACCGCTTATAGTGCAGGACCGGGCATAACGCGGCTTTTTTAAACCACCAGTTCGCCTCCCATAGAACTCCATGTAATTACATACCGGTTAAAATGCAAGCGCGCGAAGGGAAATACCGGTTATAGTGCGGTTTCTGAAACAGCCTGCCGACCGCGCCGACCGGCGCAGCGAGCACGCTGCCCTGTGCGACACTAGATAACCAAGATAACGGCGCTAGCCGCAAGCGGCACTCGTGGGGCAAGGAGGTTGCTCGAAGAAGCGAAGAGAGAAGCTTCAGTTGCCATAGCGACGGAGAGACGCACGCACGTGTCGTTCACGTGCGTGCGTCCCTCCGCTGCGTTTTAGGGCAACGACAGACCAATCGCAGGTCGAAAAGAAGTGCATGCCGGTCACGGGGCAGCTTCTTCTATCCGCAAACATGGCGTCGGTTGTGATCGTCGACGTAGACGGCGTGGTGGAAGCTCAATGTTCCGCGTAAAAGCGCTATCCTTGACTGTGAATTTTCGTTGTGTGTTGCTATGATAACCCAGCACGTACCAGAAGGGAAGATTCACATACTCATGCGGCAGTGTCGTGGCGGCACTCTCAAGACGGCAGAAACGCCCGTGTCGTTGTGTTTGTTCACTTCGACGACAGTGGTGCTTTCGAAGCATTTGTGTTTTCGAACATCGCCCGGATTTCTTATTTGGAGCATTTCATGCCTATGCTCAAGTTGAAGGTATTACTGGCACGTACCGTATAAAGGATGCGAATTTTCACGCGTTTTCATCACCGGAGAAGAGTCATTAGGGTTAGCAATCCTGAACGCTCGCAACGTCCGTCCGCGACGCCGCTAGAATGCAGCGCCAGGCAAAAGTCGCTTGAGAGAGAAGTCTACTAGTCTGGTGAAATAAAGACTTTCGTCAAACTAAGCTTTATTTTTCATCTAACATAAAATAAATTCTTTTACAAAGGTAAGTTGTCTAATGGCATGTATTTTGGCCTGAAAAATTGATGTTTTAGTTATGGCGCGGTACCCCTTATAGTGCGGATTTTCGCGATTCCCGCGACATACATTATATGCGGTCTACACTGTAGTCGCCAACAGAGCCGCCCACAAATTCATAAGGTTTAAAGGCGCAAACTACCAGGACACAAAAACCTACTCATAACTTTTGAATAAGATAAATGTTTGTTCTAAAACTTTGGTATTCAATCCGGACCACTGGCACTACGTTTGGGCAGAGAATAAGCATTTCACAATATGTGTAGTTTATTTTGTGTGGTAAAAAAAAAAAACCAAAAACACTGATGATATTATTATCCTCCGTGCTTTTGCATCGCCGGCTTTGGGCGCCCCTGCTGCAAAATGACGCACCTACACCCTCACGTTTCCCAGGTGCATCAAGTCACCGTATAATAGACTGACTTTGGGGTTCGATGAAGCGCAGCAAGTTTCTAATTAGAAACATGTTTATTTTCACTCACTGAAATTTAACGTTTAAGTTCCAGGCAATTATTTTGCTAATTAGTGCTTTTTTTGTTTTGTTTTTTCAATCCCTGACTGTGGAGTGTGTGTGTGTGTGGGGAGGGTAGGGGGGGGGGGGGCTGCTGCAGCCAGGTACTGCCAGGAGAGTTGGGGGTGGGGGGGGGGGAAGGGGGGGCCTTGAGTTTTCCGTAGTCGGCGCCTATGGACAGGTCAGAGTATTTTTATGACCTTTTATGAAGTAAAAATATGAATGCAACCTCCAAAACATGTGCTAAGCTTGCACTGCTGGCATGGCCCAGATAAGGTACCATATTTTCGATACTACATGTTTAAAAGTTGAATTTTTATGGAGTGCAGATTATCTTCACGTGCGGACTATGCAACAATTTATTTGTTCTACATCATTCTTTATGCCGAGACGTAAAGAATTTTGTGAATGACAGGGAATCTTAATGGTGATTTATGTACAACTGAAACTTTGTGCGCTAGTAAAGAGGGTATTTGTCAAGTTGTGCTGTGTACGAGAATTTGTCACTGGCGTACTAGGGATGAAGCGCAGGATATACACCGGGTGCAAACTACAGTCCAGAAAATACAGTACTCGTAATAAACATACTGATATAGAATGTACATAGTGATCAAGATTTAAGAAAAGAATTCAACATTACCCATACAAAGACTAAATCTTTACTACTTTTCTATAAAGCAAGAATATAAATAACCATTACAAGAAACTGATAGAGAAACTCGTGAAGGAGGAAGACCAGCGGAGCTGTACTCGATACACTGTGTGCTTCTTTGTCGTCTGTTTTTCGCGCTGTTTCCTACGATGAATTCCCACCAACACGCCCAACTATCCATTCTTCTATTATAGCTGGAAAGGTTGGCGCCCTCTACGAGCGACGGCAAAAACCATAGTGGTTGTGTGCTTGCCGCCGTCGCTTATAGATGGCGGTAGCTGTACAGGTAGGTTTGTGTCGACATACACGGACACGATCCTGGAGAACCTAGCCCTTAAAAGCTCCACCGTAACAAAAAAGAATGACATAAGGAAAGATTTTAATGCAGAATGTGTTTTACCAGCCAAATTCTATGATGAAACCGTCACGAAGAACCATCACGAAGTACACGTCGCAACAAATTGCCACAAAGAATCGTCGCGAAAACCTGCGACGCCCCGTGACACCATGACATCATCTGACGTCGCTGTCATGTGACCTCACAGAGCTCTTCCCATCAAAGAACAAAGCCACAGTTCACCGGGAGGCATCGTGGGAGAGAGAGAGGGGAGAGGAAAGCGCGCTCACTGATGTGGTCGATGGAGCCGGCGCAGAACTTGCCGAAGAACTTCTTGGCGCCCAGGGCCCGGAGGTCGTGGATGACGAAGGGCCACAGGTGCAGGACGTTGTTACGAGAGTACCGGTCCCGCTTCTCCAGCACCACCACCTTGGCCCCCAGCAGCTGAGCCTCGATGGCCACCCGGATGCCGCACGGCCCACCCCCGATGATGAGCACCTGCGGGCGATCGAGAAGGCTGAGCCAACCTGGGCCTCTTCCACGCGTGGTGGCAACGGACCCTTTCTGGAATTCTGTCTGGCCGCTCCGATCATTAGTGTCGATTTCAACTAGATCCCAGGATCGTGTCTCTGACTATAGTCTGTTGCAACTCAAGAAGGTAAGGGGAGGGAAAGGAAAGCCAGGGAGGAGGAAGCAGACAAAACGGTGGTGAGGAGGAGGTTTCCGCCTCTCCAGCGTTCAGTCTGCTTCCTCCTCCCAAGCCTTCCTTTCCCTCGCCCTACCTTCTTGAGTTGCACTGGACTAGTATGTTTACTAATATGGCCCTGCCTGCTAGAGAGTGGCTCTTTTTACGGCCTTTGCTGTTGCTTGGGAGCAATTGGATTTTTTCTAGTCGCATGGGAGGGGGGGGGGGGGGGGGACATGATTACGCCACCAGTACCACTACTACCCGGACCACCATGGGCATCTTTTCCAGCCACAGTGACCCAAAATATGCCTTACTGTGTGTATCTTAAATGACTGCATTGAGCCGACCAAAGTAATTTTAGGCTTACGATGAATAAGCGCTCATTTACAAAAAATTGCTTTTTGAGAAGATGAAGGGGAAGAAGTGTTCTAAGTCAAATTTGAGGGTGTTACGTGGCAAACCAACGACGGGCATCTGGCACGTCCCAGCGGAGGACCGAGGATTAATTTCGACCACCTGGGGATCTTTTCACGTGCAACCGAAAGCTCGGTTACACGGCGCCTTCTCCGCAATAAGCCTCCGTCAGATTGCGGGCACCTCGGCCGGGATTCAAACCCGCCACACGGGGATCCGTAGGCCGGCGCTCTCACGGCCTAAGAAGTGTTCTGCGCAAGTCCCTAAAGGCAGGTGGTCTCATGGCCCCTGGGTCAGACTAGTCCAGAGATTCCTCCAATGGGACCCTGGAGTAAAGAGGCCCACACAGTGAAGTTGGGATACCTCCTTAGAAGGACTTAAAGGAGCTCTGAAACTATATTTCAGTTGTTTGCTTAATTTGGGAGTTGAAGTCTCGACCTTTCTGAAGTAAAGAACAAAACTCTTTCAGCCTTTCCACTCTGGTGAAGAAGGAAGACCACCAAGCTGTACTATGGTCAGACAACCTCAAGGACGACTTCTTCAACGACCTCAAGGACGATGTCTAGGACGACCTCAAGGACGACTTCTAAGACGACCTCGAGTATGACACCTAGAGGACGACATCAGGAACGACATCTAGACAACCTTAAGGACGACACCTAGGACGACCTCAAGGACGACTTCGAAGGCAACGTCTAGGACGACCTCAAGGACGACTTCGAAGACAACGTCTAGGACGACCTCAAGGACGACTTCTGGGATGACCTTGAGGACAACATCTAGGACGACGCCTAGAGAAATTCAGCCTTTCCACTCCGGTGAAAACCAAAGTCCAAAGGTTAGAAAGGTTGTTGCCATCTATGAGCAAGGCCGGCAAGCCGATTGTCTGGTTGCCGCCATCGCTCATAGATGGCGGTAGCTGTCCAGAGTTTTGTGTCGACATTTCTTTGCGGGGGACACAATTCTGGGGAAACTAGCCCTTAACAGCTCCACTGTAAAAAACTGCTTTTGCCTGCATGTCCTAGTTTCTACTTTAAAAATTTACAAAGATTGAGGTTTTCGGCACATCTCAACTCCTTCACCATCTTCCAAGTCACGCGCGCTGTGATGTAAAAAGGGGACGTGCGGGGTTCCGGTGAAGCTCTCTGTAGAGCCATCAGTGAGCAGCGAGAACTCACCCGCTCGCAACTACGCGACCACGTGCTTGCGCAGCGCGATCGGACGTAGCGATCCTGGCGGTTGGTCGGAAGGGTTCCGTCAAAGAGCGCGAGCAAACGCGGGTGTCACAGTCGTCGTGGTGCCCCAACTCGTGGCCGCCCGAGTTTCTGTGGATCAACGAGCCCAAAGCGAGCTACAGCAGAACAGGCTTCTGACGTATCCACCCCCATGCTACGCCACTGCCGGGATCGCACCAGGCAACGGTACAAAACTCCTAGGATGTCGTTGGGCGTAACTTTAGGAACCACTAACGAGGACGTGTCAAACGCACCATAGCACCACCGTACACCAGCTTGGCGTAACTCGGCCGACGGCAAAATGAATGACAGAGGTGAGCCAACGAGACGGTCAGAAAAAGGCGCGCAACACCTTCTCGCAGGCGTTCATTATGACCATGCGTTGTCGCATGCTTCACTTCGACACTTTCATCAGCTCGCCCGAGCCGCGGTTTCCAGATTACGCCGAAATGGAGCCTATACTCTGTTCCATAGTTAATATGCTACGCTGTCAAAGCTACTGGTGCGAGCATGTGGCTTTGTCTGTGTGTGTGAAAACGATCAACGATATCAAGCCTCATGATCGTGCCAGTAGCTTTGACAGCGTTGTACACTACGCCTGAAACAGAGTATAGGGCGGCGTAGACCGTCATGTGGCGGAGATTACCGACATTGACGACGTACACCTCCGTTTTACGGAGCTCGTTGGGTCCTTCATTAGTTTTAGGCCCACTATCCCTTAGAGCTGCTAGGGTGAAGGCTGGTTCGCACACTTGCGACTGCTGAGGACCGTGTGCCTCGAAACCTCTTAGAATCTCTCGTGACGAGGGGATGCACTGGCGCCACCTTTTGGATTGCCGTGGAAAACTGGGCAGTCCCGTACATTTGCTACTTCTCTCGCGCATCATCCTTTCTCTCTTGGCTTGGAAAAAACTTTTATGAATGTTATGAACGACAGTCTCTCACGGGCAGTACATCAATTTGACCTTGCAAATGTCGCAAAACCTTCCCCCTAGTGAAATGCAGTTCCAGGGTCATTTCTTCCGTCGTAAGAAATTTTAAGAGGTCTTAGGGCGCACAGTCCTCGGGAGCCACGAGAAAGCGAACAAGCCTTTAGTGGTGTGTTGCGGAAAGCGGATGCGCAAGTGGTCCCGCCCCGCTCTCACCCGCATGCCCGCGCAGGCCTTGCCCCGATTGTAGCACTTGTGCGCCGCCCTCTTGTCCAGCTTGGCCCACAGCGAAGCGGCCCTCCAGGAGCGCAGCTTGGCCTTAAGCCGCGGGTAGAAGGCGGGCAGTGGTGACGGGCTCAGCTGCAGGACGTCGCACATCTGCGGAGCACGAGACTCGCCGTTGGCGGGACACTCCAAGCTCGTCCAAGCCGGATAAGAGGCGCCGAGAACGGCCACCGAACAAGCCGCATGCAAGACCTCGCCGACAATGTGAAAATTGGGCTCGTCAAATTTACCAGTGCCTCCTGCACCAGCTGTGCTCGGTGCACGCCACCACATTCGATTTACAAGCGCAGTCTCAAGACACGAACAGAAGCATGTCGCTCTGCACTTTTTTGCACTGCACTATGCTTTTTCAGTGCCGGTGCAGCCAGAAGGAGGTAAAATGATTGAGACCATTCCATGAGCTTCGATTAAACTGCACTGCCAAGGATTAAAGATGATGACACTGAGACGAGAAGGACGAGGAAACCTATAGAATTAAACGTAAACAAGAAATTCTCGGTCTCGTGATTTGTGATCCTTCGTAGCGCAGTTTAATCAAAGCATGAAAAACCAACAAGTCCAATACCGAGCACAGTTAAACTCTATGATCATTCAGGCCGGATACAAGGCACCAAATATAGCTGCTAGGCAGGCCGTGTTTAAAGAACCACTGAAAAGAAAAAAGTATTTTTTTTTTATCAGTTTGGTAGGGACGCGCGTGTCAAAAATATATTTTTTTTAAATCGGTAGTCACCTCCTTTCTCCTTGTTTTCTCTCTCGGCATGTCGGTCATGTGGAGGACAGGTGCATAGGCTTGGCCATCACGTTAAGGTAGAGAGTATGACCATCTCGTTGAAATGGAATGAGTGTATGACCATTCCGAGACGTCACAAACTTTGCACGCAGAATTTAAAATAAATAAATTTTGCTCTAAAAAATATTTTTTCGCATCAAATTTATTTTTGTTATGAGTGTCCCAACCAGACTGCACTGATGGAAGTGCCATTTGACCTTTTGGAGCAGGCCTTGTAACAGGCAAAATGTTGTTTTGGAGCAGGTGTGACCCTTTTGGAGCAGGGTCCGGCATATGTTGGCATATTACTTAAAAATGAAATAATGCTGCATTGCTATATAAAGCCCATCTCTATTATTGGAACACAGCGCCTGTCGCCTTTTTAAGACAGGATACATAAAATTGAACAAAGTAAACACAAAAACACATTTTTTTTAAATAAAGTTTATCTGCTCGTCAGACCAAAAAATGCAATTAAATATGTCACACTGCGTTCTGATGGTACAGGATATTTAGTTTTATCAGCCTGCACTTCTTTTAAGGTATCTGCAGCAGCATCTAACAACCCTCACTGTTGCGGGATGTTTTATTCAGATTAGAGTTGTCTTTCGGGCAGAGCTTCAAATATTGCAGTATCTGATATTCGCTTCAAAAATTCCGATTCATTTTCGATGTGCTGGCGAAGTCACGATCGGATCACGGCGAGTTAACCCAGTGAATGCGCTCCTCGGCATGCACCGAAGCGCTGCAGAGAAGCGACGACACCCACAGAGCAGATACCGCAGTCGCGCAGTGGTTTGTACTCCGAAAAGGACAATTACGCTTTATTAGCTCTCCATCCAGAGTTTGGTGCAACTCAAGTCAGGAATGCACAGAGCATTGAGCTCGCGCTAGCTTTGACTTCGCTGGTAGCTAGCGCACGGGAACGGGGCGGGCCAACATTGAAAACATCCACAAGCTCGGTCTTTTTTTTTTTTTTAATAGGCTGCTCAGTGGGATGGTTCTTTGCATAGCCTCTGCGGTTTTGGTCTCAGATGTTGCTAACGTTGTTCCTTTCAATGATGATGATGATAATGCACCCTCACAGTTTCGGTTTGCGTAACAGTTGCGGCGCGGAAAATACCGCGGTACCACCAGGCGCTCTGATAAGACTCCAATTTTTATTTTTTTATTGCTGCATCTCACCTCGACGCAGGCATGGCACAATTCTTCGGTAAAACGACAATTTGGCGCTACATGTAGCAGGATTGCGTCCTTGGCGCAATTGGTGCAGCACTTCCATCGCTGAGACTGCTTAAAAAAAACATTTTTTTTCTTTTCAACGGTCCTTTTACAAGAAGCATCACCAAAGTTAGAGCCAGTGTATACACTCCCAAAGGAAGCAGAGTAATGCAGACCCGAGCACCATCCCTCGGCAACTATAGTCCGTTGCAAATCAAGAACGAAGGGTGAGGGTAAGACGGGCCAGGGAGGAGGAAGCAGACAGAACCCTGGAGAACAGAGAGGGAAACCTCCTTTTCTTTTTAGCGTTCTGTCTGCTACCTCCTCTCCGACCCCATCTTACCCTCACCCTTCGTTCTTGAGTTGCAACGGACTATAGTGGCACATGCTGCAAAGGCTCCTGATCCACTGGGGAATATTTGGAGAATAAAGAAAAATTGCACTCTGCTTGTCTGCTTGCTTATTTCTTACTACTCACTACAGTACAACCCACTTATAACGATACCACATATAACAATGCACCACTTATAACGATCAGTTTTTAGACTGGAAATTATCAATTTCTAGTCCAGATACAATGATTATTGGTTATAACGATTGAAATTTTGTGTTTTCTCATTATCGTTATTAGTGGGTTGCACCGTAGTAGTATAACTGACAATTTTCGGTTACAGGCTAAGAGGGCAGGACATGCTTTTCTCACAAAGCCCTCCACTCTTTCCGCTTTTGCAGAGCAAACGCTGGAAAGGAAGCGAGGAGAGACTCACCTCTAAACTTAGGGACAACTTTTTTTTAGCAATGAAGCCAAAGCTACGGGCACGCGTGCATTTTCGTCTCCACTTCTGAAACACCAGAAAAAGCTGCATCCAAATGTACAGTCAGACAATTTAAGAATGCACGGAATAAACACCACCACGTACCAGCTACCGAGGCATTGAACCATTCCACGGATCAAGGCAGTAGCTACGACAAGCTGCGTGACGTCCGTGCCACAGGTGCCTCAGAAGTGGACTATTTGCGCATAGCGAAGGAAGGGTGGCAAACAGTAATAAACCTGTGGGAGGAGCCTCTGGTACATCCCCAAAAAATGCATGGCATGAAATATCTGCTTTTAATGATTCATACGCGCTTCACAAAACCAATAGTTTACGTCCTCACCGACGGGACAAGAATGGCGGAGCGTTTCTTTCGGATGCCCGATCACTAACGACTGTTTGTTGCCGTCTGCCATGCTTCGAGAACGGCGGGGAGGAGCTTCAGTTGTTGCAGCTCTCATGCACGCTCCCGATCTCCACCAACGCTTTGGTATTCCGTGCACATCAAGCGCACACGCACAGTCAAAGCACAGCCGAAGACATGAATCGTGTGCTGAAGGCCGGGCTTTCGGAAGACACGACCAGCCGTTCCATTCTGTCACGTGACTACGGTCGGAGAGACGAGTGCAACTCTCCCGAGTTTCGTTTCGCTCCTCACGCCATGAATTCTCTTGTACGCAGAAGGACGTTGGGTGCAGAAGGGCGGCACTTGCCTGGCGGTAGGTGGAGAGCGCCGCCTTGAAGGTCCCGGCCGACACAAACTGGTCGAAGATGTCAGAGGCCAGGGCGCTCTCGGGGCTCATGGCCTGGGGCAGCCCCACGGGCGTGGCCCGGGGCCCCCTCACCGCCATCGTGGGGCACCCCGGCCCCTCACTGGGGCCCGTCCGTCTGCCTCACTGCCGCCGCTGGCCCACTGAAACGCGGGAATTCCATGCAACGTTACTACAACACGAGTCGAAAGTGCCTTTGGCCCTTTAAAATGATCACATAAATAGGTTTCTTAAAGGGTAGGGCGACCATCATCCTTGGACTAAAAAACGGGACACAGAGGGGAGGGGGGCTTTATACAAAGCTCTGCGTTGCATAAACATAAACACGCATATTTTTTAAAAGTTCTTCCTTAAGAACACAAGTGCTTTTCTTCCTAAATTTTTTAACACTGAGGAAGAAATGTTGCCTACCAAAGCACGTTAAATTCGGTAATATAGGAGTCTCCCGCACACTTGCTCATGTGAAAAAATGTATTAGCAGATGCAACTACAGCATGTTTCATAGAATGTTTATTTTTATAACATTACGTCCGTAACAAATAAACGTTTTTACGGTTTTCTTACATTCGCTTAGTACTCATCTTGAACCTACTATGCACGTTCCAGCGAAAACGGGACATGAGGATTCGTTAGACCAAAAAGACGGGACGTCAGAAACGAACCTCTAAAACGGGACTCTCCCGACCAAAATGGGACGTCGGGTCACTCTATTTAAGGGGCACTAGAGGGGTTTTTGAGGTAGTCGATATTTATGGTCATAACTTGATCTACAAACTCTAAGCATTCTAGAAAACCCGAGATTGGAGTGATAAGCATCCGATTTCCCTATTAAAACTGAGATGAAATATCGCGACACGTCGGTCGGATTCGGCGCAGAAACTAGACGACGACGTGGGACGCATGACAGCCGATCGCAATCTATTGCTTTCTGCGCGGCGATGGGGCCGACCAGCGGTGCATTGGTTTTCGAATGTGTGCGACTCACGCATGGGAAAAGATCACTCGTGACTGACTGTCACATATCCGATGGTGCCCTCCGGTTTCTGCACCGATTCGCAAAATAAATAAGCACGTCGAGTCAAGATTTTGCACAGAGGTGGCTGAAGATGGTGCATTTATTGCAGCATTAGCACAAGTGCCCACAGCACAACTTAGTAGTCACTGCTGCGATTTCACCACCATGATGGGCCCCTGTGGGATTCAACCAATGATAAGTCACAAGTAACATTCCAGTAACAAAACAAAAGCACACGTCAGAATTTCTTTCATGTTGGAGTCACTTCAAAACTGTTTTCGATTGTTTCTACCCAACACTTTTTGATAGGTTCACTAAAACCTTTAAAAATGATAATATATAGGAAAATTACAGGCTCCATCCATTTTACATTTAAATTGCCTGTTGACTAAACAAAAACGTTTAGGCAAACCTACCAAGCTAGCTAGTAGTGCATATCTAGATTTTAATGTCAACATTTGAAGGCTGTCTGATTTTTTTGGCAACTATGTGGAAATAGTTTGGGGCCAATACACAAATAAGTTGTATGCCTGTATTTACTGTAATAATCAAATTAAAACATAATTATATATTAGTCTGGTGAAGACAGCTAGGGTATAAAAGGCTGTGGTTATATGGCCAGCACATATCATATGCTCAAAGAAATACAAGTACTAGTTTGCTTGGTACCAGCAGTGGTACTAAATGACAGCCACCAACTAGTCAACTTGTCTAGCAAAACAGACCTCGAACAAACTCTTGACCTTCAACAAAACCACACTTGCAGTTTGTAGCAGATTTACTAATACTAGGGTAGTGCCGCAAGAGCTGACAAACTTTACCAACTGTTTGAAACAACCCACACAAATAGCAGCAGCTATAAGGTCACATAGTAATGGCTGGCAAAGGTTGAAACTAAGACTCGGATGTGAAAGAATGTCAACATAGCTGGTTTCACAGAAGGGGACAGCCCTTTACCTACATGCTTATCTTTGGCACATAATAACAGGACCTCCCCGATACCATACAAGGTTGCCATGAATCATAAATCACATACCCGGCATGGTCTGTGTACAGAGTAGTGGAGGTAAGCCATATAAAAAAAAAGAAAATGGATTGTGTGTATGTTTATACAGCCTAGAACTTGGTCTGCCTCAACGGGCGACGAGTCTCCCAGCTGTAGGTGAGAAATTTAACCAGTGTACAATGTATGCGACAATGTAGGCGCAATTATTATACGCGCCGGCAAGGGCTGTCAGGTAGGGGTATCTGATGTTTACGTGCGGCCAACCAATTAAAAACACGATGGTTAGGTTTTGGTTCAGGCTATTCTTTCTGCCTTCTCATTGGCCCTGCTCCACTTTCTTTGCACTAGGGCTGGGCAGAGATGCCCCTAAAAGTATTCCGGAACACAAATACTGAGATACATGTATTTTATGGCTAAACTACAGATACTAAGATAACATATTTTTGGTTTGCAGTCTGCAAAAGCCAATTCAGGCAAAAAAAAAAATGTTTTTCTTTAGATTGTTTGCACCCGGTGCATAGTCCGCCAACCGTACACAGTCCGCACCTGGTACTTAGTCGACTCGAAAATCTTCGCGTACATGGCACACCATGACAAGTCTGCTTTCTTTGCTCACAAAGAAGCTTGTATTATACATAAATCATTGACATACTCCTTCATTTACAAAATTTGTAATGTTTTGTCATCATAACTGATCTTGAATAACAAAATTCCTGTATAGTCCCGCACAGCCTAAACTATAAACTTTTAAACATGTATACTTTTCAGACTATAGCGAGGAAAATAGGGTACATTTGTCTTTTGTGTAACAAGATATCCCCAAGAGACTTCTCAAAAAAAAAAAAAAGAAATGTATTTAGGATAACAAGCACATACCCTAAAATACCGTGGAAGTGCCCATTTCGTTCAAGTGCCCACTATTAAGATTTCCCGAACTTGGGAGTTTTGCAAATTATGAGTTAAGCACCTGATTTGACCAGACAAGTGCCCACGTCTAGATTAACCCAGTTTTCAGTGACAGTGTGGTCCGGTATTTTATGGTTTAAACATACAAAAATGCTTTTCCCAAAGAATGGTAGGTGGCGTTGGTGCAGCTAGTGGCGAACGGAAATGGTAGTGCTTGTATTCTTTTTTTTTTACATCAGTTTATGCTCCTCCCCTTACCTCAAACTGTCTATTCCCAACTAAAATCCCACATGTTGCAAAAGAAAAAAAAATGTTTTTAGAAGATCATTAGAGACCAATGACTGCTTGCATGCTTGACAAAGGGTGTCAGTCTGAAATGAACCCTATTTTGAACTGAGGGTGTCTTAAGCTGTTGTCGTAAGTGCTTCCACGTCAACAACAAATAACATTGGCAGGACCATGTAAATTAAGTGGCTAGCAAGGCAAGTAGGACATTAGGCTCTATGAAAAGAAATTTATATTTGGCTCCTCCAGACGTTTGTTTACTTGCTTACAAGTCATATATTCGGTCCATGCTGGAATATGCTTCGATCATATGGAATCCTTCACAAGGCTAATTCAAGAAATAGAATCAATCCAACACAGGGCCATTAGATTTATTTTTAAAGATTATTCTCGATACACGAGTATAACCCAGCTGAAAAATGAAGCCGACTTGCCACTCCTCTCTACCTGAAGTTTTGTGACTAACCTTACTCCACGACATCCATTATAATAATACCCCTCTGAGGCAATGTACAGTGTCAATGTATGGGCAATGTCTCAAGCCACCACATCATATTTTTCCTAGATTAGATCATCAACATAAAATATTACTAAGGCACCTCGCCACCAAACTTCTCCAAACATCTCCGCTAACAGCTGGCAATAAACAAATGGAACGAACTACCTGCCAATATTATAGTCCTCAATAACTTTGACAAATTCAAGAATGCATGTGCTTTGTACTTTGTGAATTGATGCACATGTATGTGTGCCACGGTACAGTTATTTTTTTTTTATTTTTGCACTTTGCTATAGTGTCTTTTACATGCATGCTTATGTGCCACATGTTTTCATTATTTTTATTTTTGTACTTTACCAGAGTGTTTTGTGCGCATTTTTTACTTTGTTGTAGCATCTTTTTACGCGCTTTCACGTTTTTGCTTACTTTCAAGCTGTTGAGTTTCCCCCCTCATGTAGGCCCTAGTAGGGTGCTTGTGAGGTAAGAATAAATAAAACAAAATGAAACCAGGACAGGGAAATTTATCAAGGAAGATAAGCCCCACCTAAAGCTCTCTATTGCTATCACAAAAAAAAAATGTAATTTTGGGTTTTATGGTGTTCTGTTATTTCTGAATCTTTATATTTGATGTATAAAAATATTTAGCGCCAGGTAAGATCGTGGAATTAGTCAAATACGTAATTCAAGACCTCCAGGCAACCCAGAATGGCATGAATTTGAGCCCTTTTTCTCAACAGTGGTGCTTCAAGCTGTGACGTCGACCGCCATCACATTTACATTGACAAGTAAGCCTTGTCGTTTCCTCTCCGTTGCTCTCTTCTCAAGCTTCAATTTCTCACGGAGGTTTACAAGCAAAAAAGTATTTTCCACACAGAAAAAAGTGTAGCTAACACCGATGGTAATATTCACACATTTTTTTTAATGCAATTTTGGGGCATCTTTACAGTTTGCACACAAGAATTTCTGCTTTTAATATTGTCCTATTACAACCAAATTTGGCATGCATATACTTTAGAATATGTGGAGTGCAACTATCTAGGCTGGGTTCAAATATATATATTTTTTTATATTCATGAAAAATTTAAGCATCGTTTGTTAGCCCCTTGAAATGGCAGTTTTGCTATTTTTAATTATTTTAAAATGAAAGAAGTGTTGCACACAATAATTTTGTTGTTCATTGCACTCAGTGATTTAAAAGGAGCAAAATAGTCTATTTTACTACACTTTTTTAAGTGTGTTAACAAGCTATATCAAATCTAACACCAGATTTATGAATAGACTATTAAGCACCATAAACTAAAATTTCATTTCAATATCGTAAATAATAAAGAACAAAATTTCCCTGGCACATATCCGATTAAAAAAAAAAAAAAAAGACAGTTAATTTTAGCAATTAGCAGGGAAAGTCCTTGAGGACTTCTTCTAGAGCT